CCTCGAGGTACGGCGGTAGTTCTGGATGTGGAAGTTCGTACTGGCTAGGTAGCAGCCGAAGTACGTCTGCCTCAAGTTGCTCCCTCTGGTACGCGCCCTCCTGGTCCGCCATGCCTTGGTCGCGCTCGCTCGTGGCTGTGTCTCACATGAGGTCGTCCGTCATGTCGATTAGCAGGTCCTCGTCCACTCGTCCTCCTGCTCCCCAGGCATCCCGTAGTGCAGTCTGGAGTCCTGCCGTTTGCAAATCATGTGCACGTTGGAGGTATTGTAATTGCTGCTGCCTCTGTGCTTCGTTCATATGATGGTTGTGGGCGTAGTGCTGCGCCATGGCCTGCATCTCCTGCTGGTGCTGGTGCTGCAGTGTGCTGTGGTACTGATGCGCCGCTTGGTTCTCCATCTCCTGCTGCTGCTGTAGTGCCTGGAGTTCGCTTGTGGCTGCTGCTTGTCGCTGCAGTGCCACCTCCTCCATCCTTCGGGCTTTGTCCACCGCCTCCTGGTGCTCCCCGACGCGCTCCAGATACCTTTCCTGCTCGTGCTGCATCTCGTATGCCTTCGCCTGGATGGCTGCATGCTCCAGGTTCAGGACGACCCGCATCGCTTCGCGCTTGTTGGCTTCATCCTGATGCTCGTGGGCCATCTGCTGATAGTTCACTGCGATCCGCAGCTCCTCCTCCTTATAAGCGCTGTGACGGGCGCATCTCTCCTGGTACTCCGCCTCCACCATCTCCTGCGTCGCCTTCTCGTTGTGCCCCTGCGCCATCTTGTACCACTGGGCCTCCTGGGTTGCCATCTCTCTCACAGCTTGCTCTTCCTGCCTGGCCTTCTGGACCTGCTGCGTGTAGATGGCTGCTCTTCTCTGGTCTTCCTTGTGCATCTCCTCGCGCAAAGTCTTCTTTTCCAACTCAATATGCATTTGCAGGTCTGCGAGCATCCCTTTGGCCCTTTCCTCCTGTGTCCTCTGGGTGCCTCTTTGTGCTTCGTATGCTTTTGCTTCCTCCTCCTCCAGCTTGGCGTTGTGGTGCCGCTTGAGTGCGTTGACCTCCCATATGTGCCACTCCTCCTGCTTGGCCAACTGCGCTTCGGTCGTGTGGTACATCTTTTGCGCGATGGTCTGCTCGTAGGCCTTCAGCTCGCTTTTGTGCTTGAACTCTGCTTGTGCTAGTAGGTCGCTTTGCTGCTGTTCTTTTTTCTGCTGCGAATCAAGCCTCTCGGTCAATCTCCTGATGGCATCTTTGATCTCGTCTGATGCTGCTGGGACTGGTCGGGGCTGCTGGGCTGGGGCTGGCTGAGCTGTGGCTGGCTGGGCCGTGGCCGGTGCCACTGGAGCTGCCGAAGGGTCGCGCCTTCTCCTCGCGGCCGGGTGTGGCGCGCGTCCTCTGGTGGGATCATGGCTCCCATCTTCCTCAGACGATTCGTCCTTTACTCCCGCCGACTTGGCCATTTGATCTCTGGTTTCCCTCATCAGGGTCTTGTAGACCCTGATGGTTCTGGCGGCCGTCGCCTCCTGGTCCAGCATCTTGCTGAGCCGCTTCTCCATCTCGGCATGCTCCTCCTCCAGCTTTTCCAGCGTGGCCCTGAGCTGCTTCATGCGTTCTTTGTGGGGCAGAACGAAGGAGATGTTCGTGGCGGTGATCGCCGCTTCCTGCTCGAGGCTGGTTGTGCACAAGCCGGCCAGCCTAGCACCTGCGATGTTCTCGGAGAGACGACCCAGCCTGTGGCACTTGGTCTTGTACCACACGAACCTCATCTCTTCGTCATCTGGTGGTGCGGACCAGCTCTCGTGCTCCATCGCGACGGCGAAGGAGACTGGCGTGATGCTGTCCAGGACTGCCTTCTGCTGGGGGCTGTACTGGTAGCTGCCGATGTGGGCTGCGGCAGGCGTGTCGAGCTGGTCCCTTCTTCTGCGCCTGCCGCTTCTCCTTCTGGCTGAGGCGCTCCTCCAGGGCGCACTGTGCTTCCAGTGCTGGTCGCTGTCGCTTTGCTGCTGGTGCTTGTGGGTCTGTGGCTGCTGCTACTGCTGGTGGTGGCGCTTGTGGGTCTGAGGCTGCTGCTGCTGCTGCTGCTGACTATGCTGCTGCCACTCCCAGGGCCGCCCACCAATGGCTCCGTAGTCGCCAGTCCAGTCTGCGCTGCGCTGGCGCTTCGCCTGGGCTGTGGACCCTGCTCCTGGCCACCTTTTCCCAGGGCCGCGCCGCGACGCCTCGAGGTGTGTGGTCCCTGCTCCTGACCACCTTTCCCTCGAGGCGTCGCGCTGCTGATTCCAGTTCTGCTTCATGACGTGCTGCTGGTGGCGCTGGGGTTGCTGCGCGCTGTGGTGGTTGCTGAGGATGTGCGCAGCGTCCAGCACGCGGAAGAGGGTCCTGGCGTTGGCCCTCTTTTCCCGCTGGCGCCTGTGCCAGGCGGGCTCGCCCTCTCGGGGCGTGGCGGCTCTGCGCCGCCGCGGCTGCGGCGCCGATGGCGCGCTGCGCGCGGCCACGAGCGGCGGGGGCGACCGACGAGACGACGGCCCCGCCCCTCCTCAGCCCGTGGCTCCTCCTCCTCCTCCTCCTCCTCCTCCTCCTCCTTCTCCTCCTCCTCCTCCTCCTCCTCCTCCTCCTCCTCCTCCTCCCCCCCTTTGGAGTAGGTCTTGCCTGTTTTCTGCTGTGGGAGGACACGCCCGACCGAAGCTCAGGGTGGATGCCTCGACCCCAATCGCGCGCGCAGCGCCAGCAGGGGGCCCGATGGCCCACCCCGCCCAGGAGCGCACGCTTTGGCTATGTGGTCGTTTCCTTATTCATTATTTTGCCGATCGGCGCGGGCCCCAAAACCCCGCCTCCCCCCCCCGTGGAGCAGGTCTTGTCTGTCTTTTGGCGCCTGTTTCGAGCGGGTGGGGTCTCCCCCTCGATGGACACACGGCCCAACAACAGCCGCACTGGGCAGAGGTCCGGAGCCAGACCTCCCCTCCCCCTCCCCCGTTCCGCCCAATGTCGGACCGCCGAATCAGAAAACCGCTCACCATGTGGATCCGAGCGGCGGCAAGACCCCCGATGAGTGCCGCTGCCCTGCCCTCGTTCTCGCCTTGGTGGGGCCTTGGAAGAGAGAGGCCCTCGTCGCCACGGGTCGGGTTCGCCCCGAGATGCTGAGCCGAGCGCATCCCGCGAGAGAGGTCCCGGGAGAGGAGGGGCATCGTGAGGGGCAGCCTTAGGGCCCGATGGGCTCGGGGTTAAGTCGGGCGTGTCCCTCTGCAGGAGGAAGATTCAAAGATAGTCCAAAACTGGTCTGGGGACGATTTTCCCTGTATTGTTTTGTCCTTTTTTGTTGTTCGTGTCGGCCTCTGGAGGGCGGGCTTCGTCGGGGGCGGCCCACAGGGGAGTGAGGACGGGGGGGGGGTTTATGTGGGGGAGGGGGGGGGGCGGGTCCGGACCCCCCCCTTCAAGGGGGGGGGGAGGACGGACGGGGGGGTCGGACCCCCCCCCCTGAAGGGGGGGGGTCGGACGGGGAGGGGGGGGGAGGGGTCGAAAATCTCACCCCCCCCTTTACATGGGGGGAGGGGGGGGTGTTCTGCGAGCACCCCCCCCTTTTCAATTACAGGGTGATTCAGTGGCGCGCTTTCCTTCTCAGGTTCCCCCCCCCCTCTCGCGCCAGCCCTTCGTGTGCGCCGCCAACACTGGCCTCTTCGGCTGCCCTGGCTGGCTGACGACGCCTCCGCCGGGTCCCGAGAATATGCACCACCACCACCACCACCACCACCTCCATTCCCCCTCCCTCCTCTACCCTCCTCCTCCCCTCCTTTTCGGTGCTGGTGTATATTTGTTGGCCCCGCAATTATATTTACGCAGGACGAAAGATTTTCCCTCGAGGTGCACATGGCGATGATGAAGTGAAAGTTAATAACCGAACCCCCTTCCCCCGTAGAATCTCAACGCGGGTGGGCTCCAGGGTCCGCGGATCCGATTTCTTCCGGTTCCCCCTTTTTCGAATACTACAGATTTAAATAAAATGGGTAGCAATCGGATCCGCCGTAAAAAAAGAAATAAGACCGAACACGGATCCAGCAAATCTGAAATCGGATCCGCACGGACGGAAATCGGATCCGCCGAGACAGACGCCAAGCCAAAGCCACACTTGGCTCCGCGCGAACTGCATGGGAACCGACGGCGATCATCTCATACGCGTCTGCTCAAGACTTCAAGCCGTCGTTCCGGGCCCAAGCGGAAAGACTCTTCGTCCTGGGGATGTACAGTGAAAACGTATAGTAAGGACGGGTGATAAGGACTCGAGACCCTTGGAGGCCGAGGTTTGGATTTGTTGGGCGGCGGCCTGAGAGGCTGGCCAGGGGAAACGGCAAAGGACGTGGCCGCAGAGGCAAGGACACAAGGGCACCCTAGAAAAGGCGCGCGCCCTCACTGTGCGCGCTGACTGTATCTCCCAAGGCTCCACGGCGCCGTTCCTTGCTTCAATAACCTCCCCCAGCCTCCCCGCCTGCGGGCGCCCCCGACCCGCGGGCCTCGGGGCCCTCGCGGACGCGCCCCGGGGGCGGAACAATGGCCTGGCCGCGGATGGAAGAAGCCACGGGCCCGAGGGCCGAGGGCCGAGGGCCGGAAAGGGGCGATGGTCGGGGGAAACAATTCCGGAGCTCTCGGAGGTGGATAGACCTCCTGCCCTGACACGTCGATTAGTGAATTGGCCGTTTTCGGTTCGCGAGAGGGCGTCGCGGCCGTCATTTTGCGGGTCCACGTCCGTCGGTTTCGGTCCTAGGCCGTTTTCACTAAAGGGAAGTTAAGGGAGGTTTGTCCACCGCTGAAGCACCCCCCCTCCCCCCAACCTCAATGTTGGCACGCGCGGGGGAGACTGCGGCCGAAGTGCATCTCATCAGACCCACCGCCAACTTTGAACACTGGGGGGGGGGAGCCGTTGGCAGATGGATGTGGCATCATGAGTGTTCGCTAATGTGTTCCGAGGCCTGAATGGTCGGGGCAGTCATCCTGCACACTAGGCACCACGGCGTCACCCCCGAGGAGGTGAGCGACAGCTACCACGCCACACGGCACAGCGGCGTCACCCCAGAGGAGGTGATCGACAGCTACGATACCGCATGGCACAGGGCCCCGGGATCCTCGCAGATCGATCGGGGTCGAGACAGCTTTGGGCACGCGCCAGCATGAGGGCTGGCACATCGTGCCTGGATCATCCACACGACTCGGCATGCCAACTATCTATATGCTAGGAGGATTGAGGCTGGAGGGGCGAGGTTCGAGCTTCCACGTTGGATTGTCGAGGTGCTCATCATCGTTAGACTTGCTGCAGGATGGCGATTCGCACACGTGCTGGGGCGGGGGGGGGCAGCGTCGCGCAGTGACGAATATCATACATGGGTTGCAGGCTTGCTCAGGGGCGCCGCCGTCGTCAGCGAGACTCGTGGATCGTCCTCTCCCGAGAGCTGCCCCTGGAGGCCGAAGCAGAGGTGATGGGCCTAGGACGAGGAGGAGGAGGAGGAGGACGAGGAGGAGGAGGAGGAGGAGGAGGAGGACCCCCTCCCCCTCTTACTTCTGGTGGTGGTGGTGGTGGTGGAAGACAAGCCCATCAAGAGGGGCGCGCGAGGCGCCTCACTGCGGCCCGCGCCCCGTCGCCCGCCCCCCCCCCCCTGGCACAGGCCCAGGCCGCCGCGGGCCAGACGGGTCCCGAGGAGAGTGGGCCCCAGGCCCTAGGCTCTCCCCCGGGGTCAATCCTTCACGCCCTCCTCCTCGCTCCTCTTTGCTCCCCCTCCTCCTCCTCCTCCTCCTCCTCCTCCTCCTCCTCCTCCTCCTCCTCCTGCTCCTACTCCTCCTACTCTTACTCCTCCTCCTTCTCCTCCTCCTCCTCCTCCTCCTCGCTCCTCCTCCTCCTCGCTCCTCCTCGCTCCTCGCTCCTCCTCCTCCTCGCTCCTCCCCCTCCTCCTCCTCGCTCCTCCTCGCTCCTCGCTCCTCCTCCTCGCTCCTCCTCGCCCCATTGGTCCTCCTCGCCTCCTCGCTACTCCTCGCTCATCCTCGCTCCCCCTCGTCCTTGACGTGGGTGCTTCGCGCAATGAATTACGGGTGCTTCTCCTGCCCTCCAGCTCGGAGGCCTGAGAGGCGACGCCACCACCTCCAGCGGGGCCACCGCCAGCGAGCGGGGTCCAGGATGCCTCCCCGAGCTATGGAGAGAGTCAGGGGTGGTCTCCAGCGAGAGTAGGAGGGACCACAGCGCCAGGACGTAGTTGGCCCCAGAGTCGGCATGGCCGTGTTTGCACGGTTTTCGAGAAGGTGTCTTGAAAGTGGGAACGGGGTAAAGAGCACGGCGACCAGAAAGGCAAGACACGGCTCCAGGATGGGAACCGGAACCGGAAGCGGCAAACACCAAGTCGAGACGGAACCGACACGCAATCGGCGACGGGACCGGCAACAACAAGGGCAACACGGAACCGGTAAACAGCGGCGCTGTCGTTTCTCAGAGCGTGAATTACCTATCCCGCTTTCGCTTCCAGGCAAGACCAAGCCATACCACGCGCCTCCTCGTCAAGCGGCCTGATCAGTACAGGCCGCAGTTTGGCATCGTTTGGTATCTCTTGGAAGCGAGGGTGGTCAAAAGCGAGGGAGGTTTGTTTTCCCCCTATTCCAGGGCCCACTCAGCGCCAGGATGACCGTCTTTGGCGCCTCGACCCGGCCAGGGCCAGCGCGACCCCCCGCACGCTGGCCAGCAGCCCTCGCGTCAAGTCGGGCCCGTGTCCCTCCACAGGAGGAATGTTCGAAGTATCCAGAAATAGTCTGGGGACGAGTGTTTGACTATGTTTGGATATTTTGTTTGTATGTTGGCCGTTTTGTTTTTCAGTTTTTAAAGGAGCTCGTCCAAAATCCGCCTGTAGGGGGACATGCCCGACCTAGCCCTCGCGGCCTCTGGTGCGTGCAAGACTCATATCCATATCCAGTGCCTCTTGGACTTTTTTGGAAGCGGCGCCACAAGGCCGAGGCGCACTGGATATGGATAAAAATCGAGCCTCTAGGGGGCAAATGTATCCATATCCAGTGCGCCTCGGGTTTCTTGGGAAGGGAGCCCGAAACTCCATACTGCAGTGGATACAGACAGAAGTATTGCCCGCATCTGGCTCCCCCGGGAGGGTACGCGGGCGCGCCGGGAGGGCCGCAGCTCCCGCTCGCATGCGGGCGGAGGCGTGCAGGGCTCGCGCCGCGATCCGCGGGCCCGCGCCGCCTCCACACTTGCCCGCTGTGCGTCGCTTGCTGTCGGCGCGCGTGCCTTGTGCTCGCAGGTTGGTAGACCTCCTGCCCTCAGAAGGCGAAAACTCACCCCCACCCCCAGTCCCGACGCCCATCCCCTCACCGGCGATTCAAGGGGCCGGGACTGGGCGCGGGGGTGGGTTTTCTCCATTCTTGGACCCCGAAAACCCACCCCCACCCCCAGTCCCGACTCCTTGAATCGCAGGTTCGGGGGTGGAGTCGGGACTGGGGGTGGGGGTAGGTTTTCGCTTTCTCATACCCTGACACGTCGATTAGCGAATTGGCCGTTTTCGGTTTGCGAGAGGGCGTCGCGGCCGTCATTTTTGCGGGTCCAGGTCCGTCGGTTTCGGTCCTGGGCCGCTTTCAATAGAAAGGGTGGTTTACGAAAGGGAGGTTTGTCCACCGCCGATATGCGATCTGGCGCCGGCCAGGCATGCAAGCAGCAGGCCGGCATGCCATGCACGTCCGAGGTGGTGAGACAAGGCGTGGCTGCCATCCAGGGAGGCGCTCCGCGCAGCAAGCACTGTACGTCACAACGACACAAGAAGGAGGAGGAGGAGGCGGAGGAGGAGGAGGAGGCGGAGGAGGAGGAGGAGGCGGAGGAGGAGGAGGAGGAAGAGGAGGAGAAGGAGGAGGAGGACGAGGAGGACTGTGCCGCCCAAGCGTGCGTTACTCCTCGCCCCAAAGAGGGTTTGTAAATCTTCGTGGAGGCCGAGCGCTTACGGGCACCGCCGCCGGCCCCCGCCGGCAGGCGGCTGCGTGGGCGACCTGGCGCGGTGGCTGGGCCGAGGCTGGCCTGTTCTTCGTCGGCGTTGTCGTCGTCGGCGTCGTCGTCAGTGGAGGAGGAGGACGCGGAGGAGGAGGAGGAGGAAGAGGAGCAGGAGGGATTTTGATGCTGTTGGTGATGATGATGGGTGGCGGGTGATGGGCGGAGATGATCGTGATCACGATGATGCTGCTGATGATGATGGTGATTGTGATGATGAGGAGGAGGCGGCGGCGGAGGCAAAGGCAAGGGGAGGAGGAGGAGGAGGAGGAGGAGGAGGAGGAGGAGGAGGAGGAGGAGGATGGGTGACGACGTTGCTGATGATGATGTGGAGGAGAACTGGGATTGGGAGGAAGAAGAGGGAGAACTGAGTAACTTCAACATGTGTCAACGATGATGCTGCACCGCACCCTCCTGTCCCGAGTCTTATCCTCAGAAGTCCCTACAAGCCTACCTGGCGAGATCCCCGTTTTGAGAGGAACTGCACTGCAACAGGAGGAGGAGGAAGAGGAGGAGGAGGAGGAGGAGGAGGAGGAGGAGGAGGAGGAGGGGATGAGGAGAGGGAGGAGGAGGAGGGGGAGGCGCAGGAGGAGGAGGAGGAGGAGGAGGAGCAGGAGGAGGAGGAGGAGGAGGAAGAGGAGGAGGAGGAGGAGGAGGAGGAGAGGAGGAGGAGGAGGAGGAGGGAGGAAGAGGAGGAGGGAGGAGGAGGAGGAGGAGGAGGAGGAGGAGGAGGAGAGGAGGAGGAGGAAGAGGAGGAGAGGAGGAGGAGGAGGAGGAGGAGGAGGGAGGAGGAGGAGTTCCCGCCAATTCGACATGAGCCTGCAGCGAGCTGGCCCTGGAGATGGGTGTCCGCTGACCCCCCCTTACGGTGCCCGACGGCGGGCGGCTCCCCCTCGGCCCGCACGCCGATCCACCTCCGCCCCCCTGCGAGGGGCAGCTCCGGAGGTGGACGGGAGGCTGGGCCGGCGGTGCGGGACGACGGGGGGCGGGAGGCGGGAAGCAGAAGAGGAGGAGGAGGAGGAGGAGGAGGAGGAGGAGGAGGAGGAGGAGGAGGCGGAGAGGGAGGAGGAGGAGCAGGAGAGGAGGAGGAGGAGGAGGAGGAAGAGGAGGAGGAGGAGGAGGAGGAGGAGGAGGAGGAGGAGGAGGAGGAGGAGGAGGAGGAGCAGGAGAGGAAGCCCCTGTGGCTCAGGCGTCTGCCTGAGGAGGGGCCATTCGCTTGCACTTGCGAGCCGCTGTTCTCCCCCCTTGCCCCCCGCGCCGCCATGGTCTCAGCAGCCAGGCTCCATTGGATCATCCAGGAGCTAGCGAATGGCCGCCAAGGTGCTGTCAAACTGCGCAGCCACAGCGACAAGCTGATCATGCAGATCTGCCTGTTCCCCGTCTGGGAGCCGACTATGCGGAACAGCCTCATGATAAGTTTGCTCCACATGGTGCAGCTGGACATCGACAGCGCTAGTATCGTGGACCACGGGCACAAAAACTCCAAAGGCGAGTCCCACATCCGTCTTGTCGTGAAGCCCCTTCCGGTTTTCTTCGGAGGCTTCTCTGATACGCCGCCGGACATTTCTGCGGCGCAGGAGGGCTCCGAGCGCCAGACGCACGCCGAGTCCATCGGGCCAGTCCTGGCGCACGAGAAGGATGAGTCGTCCAGCGTGCAGCTTCCTGGTGAAGGTGGCGCGACTGGCTCGGGCTCTGCGGCGATGGAGAGCGAACCCTGTGCCAAGGCGGAGATTGATATCGATGTGGTGAGGCCCCAGCGGCACGGAAAGGCCATTGTTCTTCAGCAGCACGGCGAGAAGCACACATTCGTTCCAGGCATGGCCGCGCGCCTTGTTGGCCTCGAGGCTAGGCCGCTGCTAAATGGTCGCGAAGGCACCCTGAGCTTCTACGATGGCGCTGCTGACCGCTGGGCCTTTAAGACTGGTGCGGAGGCCATTCGTGTCAAGGCATCTTGTCTTGAGCCTATCGGCTCCCATGCGAAAAAGTCTCTCGGCATGGCGTTCCAAAAGGCCGCCTTCGAGTGCCAACATGTGGACCCAGTTGCTAACGACCAGGTGTTCCAGATATTGCACGACCTCGCTGCTCAAGAAGGGCAGCCTGGGGTGGCCGCTGTCTTCCCATCGTTGCTCAGCGACAAGACAGCCTTCGACAAGATGTACTGCCACGCGGCCGCCAGGAGCCCTGAGACCGTCTACCAGTGAGTGGCGCTTAGCTGCATTCTTGGTGCGCCCAGTGCATCCGTTCTTATGCCCCCATGCGCCATTCCTTGCGCCCCGCGTCGTCCGTTGGGTTGCGCTTCTCGTCATGGCTGCTGGCGCCCCCATGTATGTTGGGGTTGCGCTTCCCGTCTAAGGTCCTGGTTTCATGTGCCACTCGATCCTTCGGGCGAGTGCAGTGTTGCCAGGTCTTGCGGGCGAGATTCGGCTGCGTCTCTCGTGCGCGTCGCTGCTCTCCTCGTCCCCCGCTACACTTGCCGCCATTCTCACCGCTGACGCATGCATGCGTGGACACCTCAGACGTTAACCCTCAGGGCTGTGGGAAGAAGCAGGAGAGGAGGAGTAATTCTAATTCTAATTCTATCTGAAGCGTCATCCTCCTCTAGGGAGGTCGCTTAAACACCAACTCACACATCAGGGAAACGGGTGCCCGACTTCGGGGGAAGCCCGCGGGAGATCCTCGACAAAACCTCCTTCCCAGTGGACGAGGGCCGATCACAAGCCCTGCTCAGAATGCGAGGGGGGTTCACTGTGCAAAAACCACCGCATGCCTCGCAAAACAAAACCCCTCGAAACGCGGCCAACCGATGCGTGGGCGAACAAAACTCCGACATTGGGTGGTCCAGGGGTGTTCCACACCCCTGAACAGCAGCCAGATCATCAGGCGGCGGATCTTCCACCCCTGAGGCCTGGGCGACGCGAGGAGGAAGACGCGGAATCCGCTGCTGCAGTTCACAGCGAGGCTTGCAGGGATCAGGCCAAAAATCCGCCAGCTTGCCCTTCAAAGGGAAGCCCCGCGCACATCGAGAACACTTGAGAGACGCCGAACGCACCTCGGGAGAGTGACCACTATCGCGCAAGCGACACAACCTCTCAGCGCAACTGGTCTGTTGTCCGCGCTGCCGCCTAGGAACCCGTCCCGAAGTCTCACGACCTCCCGAGAAAAGCACCTCACGCTGGACCGCCAACAACCGCGACAAAACATCAAACGCAAGTTCGTCGGCCCGACGGGCTCGGTCAACAAAATCCTCGGGGATCTGGGCCCTGTCAGCAGCAGCATCGGCAAAGAAATCAGCAGCCTTGTTCAAATACACTTCTACATCACTCATGAACATATTTTGGCGTTGGGCCTGGGTCGAATGCGATTTCGTCCACAACACTTGGATAGATACCCCTCTAGCGAACATGACATCATGAAATTGCACCCAAAGATCCAGCATCGAAGACCCACGTTAGTCACGCAAGGGGCGACGTGACCCTGGAACTACCCGCAAATAATCACAGTACACGCGACAATGCCCCGTAGTACGACGTGCCAGCATAATGAGAGCAAACAACTCCGCACAAGGAGAGGGCTGCTTCTTGGTAGGGAGGGTGCCCATGAGGAGGGAGTCGAAGAGGCCAGATGAACCTAAGTGGACACACGCCCAGCCACAGCGGCGAAGCCGCCAGTCCTTAGTGAACTTCCCCCCAGATCCATCTATTCCCCACACTCCTCCATCGATCACACCTCCTCCGATCAGTCGGCCCCACTCCCACACCTGCGAAACAGGCGGAGGCAAATGGCCACACGTGAGGGCCTTCGGGACCAAGCCTCGAAACCACAAACACGAAAGCTCAGGCTCCGCTAAAACCCGATCGCGCAAACAATCGGTGCGATCCAAGACCGCATCAGGCACAGGCCGATTGCAGGAGCAGTCCCAAAAGCGATGGAAAGGGGTCTCTGCTGAGGCCCCGCAGCGTGCACAGGTTCCACCTGAACTCGAGCGGTATCCCGCATCGTAAAGTCTGGACTCCGTCCAGTAGCCACCAGCGACAAGATTACGCACCATTCCTGCAGCCTCCGCCTCACCATTCCTTTCCTGATGACGTAACATACGATACAGCACAGTAAAATCAACTCCTCCTTCCACCCCTGTACCCATATAATGACCCGCTGCCGCTTGCCACGAAAGCGACTGGCATGCATCAAACAAAAGGTCCCAAAGATGGGCAGGGAAATCTGCATCAGTCACCCGCAATGTAACTGTACCAACACGCCAGCAGACTGGAGGAACAGGATCCCATCGCAAATCAAGTAGCACCGCAAGCGTAGCCGCAATCGGACCTCGCACGACTTGCCAACGGTACTGAGTGCACTCGAATTTAGCCAACACCTGCTTCCACACACGGGCCACACGCATACGTTGTTTATGTTCCATCCCACTCCACGCTGACGCAAAGGCATTGAGTTGTTCGTACCGCAACCTAAACTGGGGGTCATCCTTAGCAGGGCTAACCAAACTCAGAACGGTAGTCGTACAGGACCCAGGACGCCACCAACCAGAACACGTAGCGGCCTGACTCTTCATGCTTTGGACCTGCGACGGCGAAAGACCCAAAACTTCATGGCCCCAGGATCCAACCGCCAACACCGCAGGCTTATAGAGCTTCCTAGCTCTGCCGACTAAACGAGTCAGACACCTCACTTCGCAGCTTTCTTATACGCAACGGCACGTCGCTGTCTCAACTTACTCACACAACGTCGACGCCCTGCAGTAGTCATGACCCCCAGGTCGCGCACCGCTTCCCCAACTCGAATAGGAAGCTGTGCAGCGCGGAAACAACCCTCAAGATGATCTTGCAAAGCTCGATCTGAACACACGAAAGTACTCTTACTGGAAATTGTAGTGCCAGCTTGCTCAAGCTGATGACTCAAATGAACTGCGGCTGGCACGATGCGCGAGACAATATCACTCCAAGAACCCTGCTGCGTCTGGGTAATGTCATCGACGTACGCCAGAGTGACAACAGGAACATACTGGGCGTGTGCGAAATCCAACAGATCGTACAAGTAGATTTTAACCCAAGGCATAGATTGCACACACCCAGGAAGCACCCCACAACCAGTGGGCATCACGTCGGACACGAAGCCGTTGACCTCCAAAATACGCGGGGCCTCATGCATCAAGATACCTAAATACAGCAAGTGAACGGGATAAGACATCTGCAAGGCGAATCCAGCCAGGCGGAGAGGGTCCACCGTATCAAAAAACTTACTGAGGCCCCAGTACAGCCCAACCGAAAGCTCCCCAAGATATCTAGCAGTCTCATGGCCGATCTCTCGCAACAGCGCGGCCTGCAACGCCGAAGAGCCCCTAGCCGCGGTACCCCAAAAGTTTTCACGCTCCCGAGACCACTCATCAATGTCACGGCCTCGCGCACGACAATAGACCCGATGCAACGACGGGCATTTGCAAACAGGGCGCTCCGCATCAGCCGCCTTAGGTAACAGAGCGATGATACCCATCATCACCTGCGTGGGCCACATCATACAAGATTCGCACTGATTGAGGAGATCCGCGTAGGCCCCAACAGCAGCCCCAGGGAGGGACGCCACAATCCGCGGAGGCCAACAGTCAATGCCCACAGCAGTGTCAGCCTTGAACATCCGCGCAGCTCTGGACACCGCGCAGGGGGTCAACGGCTCGAGATCACCAACGGCCGCCAGAGCCATACGGCGAACCACATCCAAAACTCCCGAGAGGGCCTCACGCTGCTCCAGGAGCAGTCCAAAATGCGCTCCAAAAGTCCTGCCGATACTGCATCATTTCCTCGGGCAATTGCTTCACCTTCGAGGGAGTAACCAAATGCTCGAGGTCAGCCCCCTGATCATATTTGAGCCAAGAGTGAACCCTCTTGGCACCACGCGGCAAGGCCTTAAGAAGCCACTGCTTCATCTTCTCCTTAGACAGAGCGCGAGCCTCATTCCAAGCCTGGCCGACCGCGTGAGCGACCGCATCACTAAGAATATTCAGTCCATCGACCGACGACGGGACGGCGGCCAGCTGAGCTATCCACCACTCGACGGGGCGCACAAGCCCAGGGAGGCAATGCGCGTGGACTTGACCCGACAAAACGTGCAACACACGACCAGCCCAATGCATATTATCCCAAGACTTCCGAGCCTTACACAGACGATACCCCCACAAGGTCTGAGAAACATGAGCCCAGAAACACAGCGTAGGGGATTGGAAACTCTGACCACAGAAACCTCTACGTCCAATCTTGGCACGTCGAAAACTCGGGTAACCTCCACGCACACTACTCTCGCAAGGCAACAACTGCATCGCACAAGCGCGAGAGAGAAACATCAATTCGGTAGCTCGGCTCCAAATACGGTGCTGACGAGAGAGAGAGCAGGAGAAATATGATCATGAACACGGGGTAAGAAGTTATCTTCAAAATAAAACGGAACCTCCAAGTCACCATCGTCTGACACCTGCGCCAACCAAACTTCCCAGGGTAAATCAGGACCAGCACAATCAGGAAAAGGAGGAGGTTTGACACGCTTCCACAACGTCTGTTCAACCGCCCCATGGTCCAACGAAACCTTCAAACACGCATGTGTCTTAAATGGTGACGGTGTATACTTAGATACTCGCACGTAGCTGGCAATATCCTCCGAAGCGACCACGTAATCGATCAGGGAGCCGCGCCCCTGCGTGCAGGTGAACTCCACCAGCGACGGGACCAGCACTCGCCCTCGCGCAAGTCGTGGGAAGCCCGAAAGATCGAGATCACCAGCTGAGACATTGAAATCGCCCATCAAAATCCACGGAACCGACGACGTTCCCAGAAACTCCGAGACACCTCGCAATCTGTTCACATTCTCTCCACAGACTCCCAGGCCCGACACCAAATAAACAACGCCCACAGCGATCACCGCTTTTTTGGTGCGTAACTCAAGGAACATCCAATGGCTTCCAGAGCCATGGTCCTGCACTGGACCGTCTAAATGCAAAAAACGTTGAAACGACAATCCCCGAGACACTACGGCCCCCACCCCACCATGGGTTCCACCCCCTGGGGAGGGCGTAGCAGGAATGAAATGGGGTCGCCATTTCAGCTGGTGCGCTCGCCTCTTCGCCAGTTTCACCCGATCACAATCCAGGTGATGCTCGGCGAAGAAGAAACCGTCACAACTGGCTCGCACGCTGGAAGCGAACGAGACGGCAACCTCGTTCCACGAGGTGATATTACAGAAAAGGAAATCGATACTGGTGGCCGCCTCGCGACCACCAGTGTGCCTGTTAAAAACGGGCTTGCGCAACAGGGGGCCTCACCATCAGCAGCCGCCGCCGCCTCACGTAGTCCGTCGTCGACACCATCTGCAGGGACAGGGACTTGGGCCACGCCGCCGGCAGGGACCGCCTGCTGAAGCACTCTGCCAAAACTCGAGGCCGTGTCCTCGCGGATAGTTCGCAGCCGCTTGACCGCTTTGCAATTGGCGGACTTGACCAAGAGCTTCTCCATGCGATCCTGCTGTGTAGCTTCGAGGGGCCCTTCACGTGCCCGCTTGCGCAGAGACTCCAACTCATCACGCTGAGCATCACCATACTCTGAAGCCATCTCGGAATCGGCGTCGTCCTCCTTGACCGCGCTGACGTAGATCCGCTGGAGCTCCTGCCAGAACTCCAGCCGCTGACGATGCTCCGCACACCAGCGCGCCAGACCCTCTTCATCAAGCTGAGCCAGATTAGGAGGCTGAAGCACCGCCTGCGGCGCACCCGCGCCAGCCGCCACGCCGCCATCCACGCCAGCGGCACGGGCGCCCACGGGGGCAGCAGGCGCAGCGCCTCCTCGACCGCCGCCGCCTGCGACAGGAGGAGCGCCCGCCGCGCCGCCAGCGCCACCGCCAGGAGCAACCCCAGCGCCGCCAGCAGCACCAGCGCCACGCGCCGCGCCAGCCGCCATAGCCGCCTGCGCTTCGTACAGAGCGCGAGCGGCCTCGCCTCGAACACGGTCCTCCCCCTCACGCTGTAGGCGTCGGAAGTCAGCCTCCACGAAGCCATCCTTCGCCAACGTAGCCTCACGCAGCAGGACCTGTTTGGCTTGCAGCACCTGCAGCGCCTCACGATGTTGCGTCTCAGCAGCATGAAGAGCTTCCCGATGGCGAACCACAGCCGCCAGCCGAGCTTCCACGTCGCCCTGAGCAATTCGTTCAGCTCGCGACTGCACCTCGACCTCCTTCGCCAGGGCAGTACGCTTCGCAGCCACGAGCTTCTCCATCTCGTTCTCAGTGGCAGGTTCAGGCGGGGGAGCAGGTGGCGCGCGCGGCTCCGCCGCGGCCGCCGCGCCAAGCTCCCCGAGCGCCCCTGCCAAGTGCGGGTACTTGGCCGCCAGCCACTCGAGATCGCCAGCAGCATCACGGCCACCAGCGTCCTTAGCAGCAGGCTCTCCGACGTCAAGATAGCAGCCGCCGCACTTACTGCAACTCCAGTTGCCATACTTGTCGAACTCCCAGTGCCCACAGGCACCGCACACTGAGTAGGTATCTCGACGCTGGGCTTCACGACCCCATGCGCCGCCGTAGCCACGCTTGCGACCTCCGCGCCCTTGGTGCCAGGGGGCACGCGACCGCCACGACATGACCTGCTAGCGGGGGCCCAACTCCCGCAGTGAAGGCCAACACACACTGAAGCGGGGGCCCAACTCCCGCGGATGAGGCCAGAAACAGGTGCAGGCGCCCAACTCCTGCAGTGAAGGCGAAGAACTCCGAGATCTGGCCGCGGACTAGCGGTATCCGTTTTGGCCCCAAGGGAACCAGGCATCTTGAGCCAAAATGGCTACGGAGCAGGAGAGGAGGAGGAGGAGGAGGAGGAGGAGGAGGAGCGGAGGAGGAGGAGGAGGAGGAGGAGGAGGAGGAGGAGGAGGAGGAGGAGGAGAGGAGGAGGAGGGGAGGAGGAGGAGGAGGAGGAGGAGGAGGAGGAGGAGGAGGAGGAGGAGGAGGGGAGGAGGAGGAGGAGGAGGAGAGGAGGAGGAGAGGAGGAGGAGGAGGAGGAGGAGGAGGAGGAGGAGGAGGAGGAGGAGGAGGAGGAGGAGGAGGAGGAGGAGGAGAGGAGGAGGAGGAGGAGGAGGAGGAGGAGGAGGAGGAGGAGGAGGAGGAGGAGGAGGAGGAGGAGGAGGAGGAGGAGGAGGAGGAGGAGGAGGAGGAGGAGAGGAGGAGGAGGAGGCGGAGGAGGAGAGGAGGAGGAGGAGGCAGGAGGAGGAGGAGGAGGAGGAGGAGGAGGAGGAGGAGGAGGAGGAGGAGGAGGAGGAGGAGGAGGAGGAGGAGGAGGAGGAGGAGGAGGAGGAGGAGGAGGAGGAGGAGGAGGAGGAGGAGGAGGAGGAGGAGGAGGAGGAGGAGGAGGAGGGAGGAGGAGGAGGAGGAGGAGGAGGAGGAGGAGGAGGAGGAGGAGGCGGAGGAGGAGAGGAGGAGGAGGAGGAGGAGGAGGAGGAGAGGAGGAGGAGGAGGAGGAGGAGGAGGAGGAGGAGGAGGAGGAGGGAGGAGGAGGAGGAGGAGGAGGAGGAGGAGGAGAGGAGGAGGAGAGGAGGAGGAGGAGGAGGGGAGGAGGAGGAGGAGGAGGAGGAGGAGGAGGAGGAGGAGGGAGGAGGAGGAGGAGGAGGAGGAGGAGGAGGAGGAGGAGGAGGAGGAGAGGGAGAGGGAGGAGGAGGAGGAGGAGGAGGAGCAGGAGAAACGCAACAAGCTCGGCCTGACTATCTGACCAACGTAAAATGGAGGAGGAGGAGGAAGAGGAGGAGGAGGAGGAAGAGGAAGAGGAAGAGGAAGAGGAGGAGGTTAGAGGGGAAGAACGTGGAGCAGCACAGGGAGGAATTTGATGGGTCCACATTGAAGCGCGTGACTCGCGCTTCTTTGCGCAGGCGATTTCTGTTCAGGATTGTGCGTCATGTACCCGCTGGCTGCTTGAGTCTCACTCGTGTACCAAGCGCAGGGGATTGCAGCTCGCAACCCTTCTATAATCATGCCAATCTGCCTGCGCCGGAGGCTTTTCAGTTCGTGCCGACAGAAATGCAGAGTGATGAGGGAGGAAGAGGAAGGAGGGCGCGAAGGGGAGGAGGGAAGGGCGCGAAGGGGAGGAGGGAGAGGATCAGGGGGAGGAAAGCCGCGCGATGGGATAAGGGAGGGGAGGAATGAGGACGCGAAGGGGAGGGCGCGACGGGAAATGCAGGGTCGGGGCGCGAAGGGGACGAAGCAGAGGAGGGTAAGGCAGGGGGCAACTCCCGTGCACGCCGGCGCTGCGCGGCCGCGCGCTGTGGCACCAGCCTGGGCTCCCAGACGCAGACGCCCCCAGAGGCCATAGCCGCCTTCCGAGGTTGGCCCAACATGTTCTGGACAGCGCACGCACGCTTGACTATCCATGTCGCGAGGGCTTTATTTCTATGTATACATATATACACCTTGAGGTGGAACAGTACTAGAAATCCGTGATCCCTGAAGATAGCGGAATCCTCGCCTTCGGCTTCGGCGTCGAGCGTCGCGTCCCCCTGCAATTTGGCGCCCCTCCTTCCCCCCTTCTTACCCCTTCCGACGCCGTCGTCGCAGCATTCTCCTCCTCGTGCTTCCTCAGAATCCTCTGTCTTGTTCCGTTCGTTCCCCTCCCCTCATCTGCTTCCTAACCATAATCCTCCTTCTCTCCATCCCTCCTTTCCTCCTCGTCCCTCCTTCCTCTCTCTCCTCCCCCCCGCCCCTCCTCCCTCCATCTTCGCCCCTCCCTCCTAGCTCCCACCCTTCCCCCCTCCCTGCTCGCTCCCACCGCGTCCACACAACCCTCGTCTCCCCCCTCCCTCCCACCCCCCCTCGCGCAGCGCCCGCCCACGCGCGCCTGCGCGCGCACCGCGCGTGCGCGAGCTCCGCCGCCCCGAGAGGTGGCCCGCCGCCGCCGACGCTCGCCGTCGACGGCTTCGCCCTGCCCCCCGGCGAGGAGACCCCGCACGACCCCCCCGCGCCTCGCTGCCCTGCCTCCGTGGCGCCGGCCTGCCGCCCTTGCCGCGCCACCGCCGCCCTTCGCCGGCGGCGCCCGCGGCGGCGCCGCCGCCGCCGCCGTCGGCTCCGCTCTCCCCGTCCTCCTCCTCGTCCTCCTCCTCCTCCTCGCTCCTCCTCGCTCCTCCTCCTCCTCCTCCTCCTCATCCTCCTCCTCCTCCTCCTCCTCCTCTCTCCTCCTCCTCCCCTCCCTCCTCCTCCTCCTCTCCCTCTCTCCTCCCTCTCCTCCTCCTCCTCCTCCTCCTCCTCCTCCTCCGCTCTCCCCCGAGGTCCTGCCCGAGCCGGCTCGAAGAGTGGCGCAGGGAGGCGGGGTTTCCGGGGCGCCTGTCGCGATGTTCTCCGGCATGTCTTGTCGCACCGTCGGGTCTCGGGGTCGTCTTCACCGCCTGAATGTGTACTTGTCTCGCATTGCATGTGTCTCGGGGGTGGACGGACCTCCTACCGTGACACGTCGATTAAGGAATTGGCCGTTTTCGCGGCCGTCATTTTTGCGGGTGGTCCGTCGGTTTCGGCCCCAGGCCGTTTTGGCTAAGGGGAGGTCTACTGAAGGGAGGTTTGTCCAGCGCCGAGTGTCCAGACACGCCAGAATCCAGAGGCCACGGCCTCGCCCACCTGGCCTGGGCTAGACCCACACGCTTGTCCGCAGCGGTGGTCGTTCGTTCGTTCGTCGCCGCCGCCGCCGCCTCCGTCGTCGCCGTCGGCGTCTTCTGTGTCCGCGGCGCTGGCCGTCGCCGTCGGCGTCGGCGCGCCCAGGCGCTCTCCCCGCGGGAGCGAGGGGATCTCGAGGGGGTCGGGGGCGTCCAAAAGAAGGGTTAGGACGTTCTCGTCGCCGAAGGGGGACGGGCCGAGAAGTTCTCGCGCTGGCCCGTCGAGGTTTTCTGGCCGCGGGATGCCTTGTGGCAGCTGCGTCTCGTCGAGAGCGTTCTGGGGGTGCCCAGATTGCCCCGAACGGCCGCTTCAGGCCCGAGTTGTAGGCCGAAAGCCACCGTGCGTCGAATAGGGGCGTGCAGGGACCAACCAAAGAGCTGTTTTTTTAATTTGATTTGCTCATTGTTTGGTTGTCCGTTTTGTTTTTCGTTTTAGTTATGTTGTGTTTTTGTTTGTGCTTGGAGCATGTTCGGATGTTATGCATGTTTTGTTGGCGCGTTTTTATGTTTCGTTTAGTGTCGTTCATAATCCAAGGTTATGCTTCATTTTTCGCTTTGTTCGATCTATTCATTGCGCGTTCCGTTTAGTTGTCGTCTCTGTTTCGCGCCAACATTGCTTTGATATGTTTTGACTGCGCTTGATAGGATTGCAATTTCATGCTTGATGTTTCGTTTCGGTGTTCGTTTTGTTGTTGTTGCTGTTTTTCGTGTCCGGTGCGGAACCTTCGAGAACGGAGGCTCAGATGGCGCCGAAGACCAGACGGGCGCCGAGAATCAAGTGGCACCGACGACGAAAGGAGAGCCGAAAACAAAGGGGGCGCCAGACACCAGAGGGGCGCCGAAAACCAAAAGGGCGTCGAACACCGACGAGGCGCCGAAAACCAAAAGGGCGCGGAAAACCAACAAGGACGCAAAACCAAAGTGGCCCCGAAAAGCAAAGGAACACCGAAAATCGAACGGCCGCCGAAGACCAAAGAGGCGCCGAAATCCAAGGGGGGCCCGTAAATAAATGGAAAGCCGAAAAGCAGGCGGCCGCCGAAAACCAAAGATGCGCCGAAATCCAAGGGGCGCCGACAACCAAAGCGGCGCCGAAAACCAAAGGGGCGCCGAAAACCAAACGGGCGCCGAACATCAAAGTGGCGCCGACAACTAAAAGGGGCCCGAAAATCAAGGGGATGCCGAAATCCAAAGAGGCACCGAAAATCAAAACGTTGCCGAAAACCAAGTGGGCGCCGAACGCCAGAAACCAAAGGGAGTCGAAACCAGAGGTGCGCCGAGCGCCGAAAACCAAAGGGTGTCGAAAACCAGAGGGGCGCCGAACACCAAAAGGACGCCAAAAAGCAAACGACTCCCGACATCCAAAGGGGCGCCGAAAACTAACGGGGCGCCGAAACCAGAGGGGCGCCGAAAACCAAAGAGGCGCCGAAGACCAAAGGGGCGCCGAAAACCAAAAGGGCGCCGAACACCGACGAGGCGCCGAAAATCAAAAGGGTGCCGAACACAGACGGGGACGGGGCGCTGACAACCAACGGAGCGGCGAAAACAAAAGGGTGCCGAAAACCAGAAGAGGGGTGCCGAACTCCAAAGGGGTGCCGAAAACCAAAATGGCGCCGATAACCAAAGGGGTGCTGAAAACCAAGTGGGCGTCGAACGCCTGAAACCAAAGGGAGTCGAAACAAGAGGTGCGCCAAGCGCCGAAAACCAAAGGGTGTCGAAAACCAGAGGGGCGCCGAACACCAAAAGGACGCCAAAAAGCAAACGGCCCCCGACATCCAAAGGGGCGCCGAAACCAGAGGGGCGCCGAAAACCAAAGGGGCGCCGAAGACCAAGCTTTCTTCCGTTTTTAGTTTGTTTTCGCATAAGTTTTGACCGGCGCCTTTTTGGCGTTCAGCCTTCATTTCTGTGGAGACATAGCATAGCGCAGGTGGCAGGCCAGAAGCTGTTTGCTCATGGCCCCACGGGGGGGGGGGGGGGAACGAGCCTTAACCAGCACCTCGCCCCTTGCCCGCGCCCGGGCACTGTAGCCGTCGCCGCAGCCCTGGTTTGTTGTTCGTGTCGTCTGTTCTTTGCTCTGTGTCTTCGCCCTGCTAAGTTCACGCCCCAGGCAGAACCTTGCTACTCGCCTACGCCCGGGTCCCAGGATCCAGCCAATGCCGCCCCGGCCCCAGCCATGGTGACATGTCTTCGTTTCGCGATTCGTTTTGTTTCCAGTGCGGTCTGCGAACTTCGTTTCGTTGTGCGTTTCGCTGTCTCGCTGAGTGACGGCTTCGTTTCGCGTTTCGTTTCTCGTTTGTGTTTGGCACCCGTTTCGATCCAACGGCCGGTTCCGTGTCGTGTTTCGTTATGAACGCCAGCGCGCGTTAAACATCGTTGTCGTCGGTCCTTGGGGGCGTGCGGACATCAAGACCGTGGGGGGCATGACGTCTTGCTGATTTCATGGCCCCCTCTTCTTGTGATCCGTCTCTTCTTTGTTGTTTTGCCGATCGGCGCGGGCCCGAGGGGGGGAGGAGGGCCGAGGTTCGAGGGGAGGCGGAGCGAGGCTCGAGGTGGTGCCGACAAGTGCGCGAGGCTCGAGGGGATGACGGTCGAGGATGGAGTATGTCAGGCGTTTTGGTGGGCTGTTCTGTGCTTTCGGCAGGGGCCTGTGGAGGCCGTTGTGGGAGGCCCCTTGAAGTCTGGAAGAAGCACACGCGGCGGGCGCCAACGCCGAGGCAGCGATCGTGCCCGATTCTCCGGCACTTGGGGGCGAGGGGGCGGGGTCAGCGGCGCGTCCCTCCTACAGCCAAGGCGCTGAAGTGAGGACCACGGTGGACCCAGGAGGGGGCTCCGTCTCTCTGGCCGCTTCTCATGTTCACCACAAGCACACCCGCAGAAGCACGGGCAGATGCGACAGCGATGGGCAGTTTAGCGAGCGGGAGCGGAGATAATATAATACTCGGAAAAAGAAACCTCATCATAACAATCTGGATAATCATAATGACACTACGAAGCAACTTAGCAATAATAACTTGAGCAGAAATTGTCGGAGCTCCGGGCTGATCTCTTGTATCGTCGCTGGACATCTCTCCGTGGCGCGCTCCTCGCGCCAGGGGCGGCACCAGAAGCGCCGCCAGGACGGCCCCAGCGCCGAAGAAATCCGCGCGGAGCTTCCAGAGTTTACGTTTGTGCAGTTTTCCTTCCTGAAGTATCGATTAGCCGATCCCCATGCCCATCGCTCCATGGGATCTCAGCCCCACCATCACCCCCCAGATATGCACCTCGAAATCCGAAGGGAGCAATCTTATATTCCCATTCAGTGGCTGAATCGGCCAGTGGGGGCCAGACCACGCCAGTAGGGATCGAGGCATCAGTTCAAAAATGCTCATCCTACGAGGGGTGCAAAGAACACGGCCCTGGAGTCAGGGCTCGACCTAAACAGTATATCGTGGACCGTTTTCGTTTTGATTTCATTGTGCATCAATCCCAGAACAAAGACAGAACGAGGGAAAACGAAAACATAGCGAAAACGGAAAACGCTGTTCAGGTCGAGCCTTGCTGGGAGTCGCGTGCCGCGCGCCAGTCGGTGTGCTGCCTGCTGCGCGACTCCGACGTCGTGGACGTCATCCCGAGCTCCCGAGGCCCCGCCCTCGCAGACGCCCCCCCGCCCTCGAGCTGCTTCTGCTGCCCGTCGCCTGGGCGCCCCAGCAGTCGCGCGCCGTCGGGTGCCTTTTGGGGGATCGCAGAGGGAGGGTCCTCCCAAGGTGGGGCTGGGGAACGGGCCCAGCTGGATGCTCCCGTTTATGGCGCCTCCTTCTTCCAGGGCCCGCCCGGAGCGATCTGCACTCCGACCTTATTGGGCGCCGCGTAATGGGGGGGTCATAAATGGGGGAGTGGCGAGCGTGGTCCGAAAAGGTACCCAAACGGTACCTAAACGAGCCCCCTGGGGCTCTGGAGGGGCCCGAAAGGGGCACGAAAGGGGACCTTTTCTGACCCCCCCATTTGTGACCCCCCCATTAAGCCACGCCCAACACCTCTGCCCCAGCCCCAGCTCTGTTCCCCCCCCCGCTGCTTGCCTCCGCCGCTGCCCCGCCGCGCTGCCCCTCTCTCCTCCTCGTCCTCCTCCTCCTCCTCCTCGTCCTCCTCCTCCTCCTCCTCCTCGTCCTCGTCCTCGTCCTCCTCCTCCTCGTCGTCCTCCTCCTCCTCCTCCAGATCATCGGGGCGACGACGAGCACGACGCCGAGGCTGCAGCTGCTGCGGAGGCGCTCGGCCTGGCGATGGACCTCGACAGCTCGGGCGCGCTGGAAGACGGCCTCCTGGGCGCGCTGGGCTTCGGCGCCGAGGCTGCTGCTGCTGGGGAGGCGGGCAGCTCGCTGGCGGTCGTCGACGGCTCGGACGCGCTGGACGTCGACACCGAGGGCGCGCCGGGCGACACCGAGCACGACGCGGAGGCTGCAGCTGCGGGGGCGGCGGGCGGCCTCATGGCGGGCGTCGACGGCTCGGACGCGCTGGACGTCGACCTCGAGGGCGCGCTGGGCGACACCGAGCACGACGCGGAGGGCCAGGGCGAGGGCGCGCTGGGCGGCGCCGTGCACGATGGATGGGCGGCTCCTGCTGGGGCGGCGAGCGGCGCGGCGGCGGCCTTCCTCGGCTCGGAGGCGCTGGGCGTCGACCGCGTGGGCGCGCGGGGCGACACCGAGCACGACGCCGAGGCGGCTGCTGCGGGGGCGGCGAGCGACTCGGCTGCGGCCGTCGACGCCTCGGGCGCGCTGGACGGCAACGCCGCGACGGCGCTGGGCTCGCTGGGCTTCGCCGAGCGCGTCGCCCGTCTCCTGGCGGCGGCTGGCGCGCGAGAGCAGCAGGCCCCAGGCGCGGCCGCCCCCAGCCTGGGCGAGCGCGACGGCGCCAGCGCCTCGGCCGCGCTGGAGGGCAGCGGGCGCGGCGCCGAGGCGGCCGCAGAGGGGGCGGTGCGTGGGCCGACTGCCACGTACCCCCCTCGGCGCCACGGGCACGCCTGGGAAAGAGTCCCCGCCCTCGGCGATTGGCCAGGGCCCTGGGATCCTCGGGCCGCACCGAGCGTTCGAGGGCAAGGACGTGGACACGGCGGCGCCTTCGACGACCGCGTGGCCGCGCTGGACGGCGGCCGCCGCGCCCCGCTGGGCGACCTCGAGCACGACGCCGAGGCTGCTGCTGCTGGTGCATCGCCGCGGGCGGCTCGAGCCAGCGCCGACTCCGTGGAGTCGAAGGCGGGCGCGGAGGCCAGGGCAGCCGAGTTCAAGAAGCTCGTCGCGCAGCTCGGCGGCGGGCGGCAGGCGCGGAGGACGCGAGCCCCTTCGACCAGTTCTTGCTCCTCATCTGAGGAGGCGGGCCAGGCGGCCGAACCCTGACCTCAGGGCTCGTCTTCTTCTTCTTCCCCTCCAGATCAACGCCTCTCGCAACGCACACAACGCACCTGGACTGGCTCGAGGTCCCCGCGGGCGCTGGCTCGGGCCTCCGACGCGCCGCGCGGCGCGAAGCAGTCGAGGCGCAGCGAGCGGCACAGGCAGGGACTGGGGGGGGGGCGAGGAGGAGGAGGAGGAGGACGATGAGGAGGAGCGAGGAGGAGGAGGAGGAGGACGGAGGAGGAGGAGGAGGAGAGGAGACGACGACTCTGACAAAACGTGGGCCACCCTCGCCTGCCGCACGTCCTCGAGGTCGCCGCCCTCCACCCGGGCGGCCGCCGGGAAAGGGGCCCGCTGCGGGCGGCCCCGCGCCCCTCGAGGAGAGACGCTCTCGAGCGACGCGCGCCCGGCCAGGCCCGGCCCGCGGGCGCGCCCGGCGGCGCGGCCCGGGGCGCGCCACACGTCGGGGGCGGCAAGCGAACGATCATTATCATCGCGCCGTGGTTTTTTTGCTCCAGGAGCTTTCAGGAGGAAAGAAACACGCAGACACAATGAATCGTCGATTCCCCAGAAAATCTAGGAAAACATGGGAAGTGGGGGGGAAGGCAGAAACCCAGAAACTATTTGAAAATATGGGGGATATTTTAATTGTGTGTATTTATTTGTGCGTCCTGGGGCCCCTTCAAGTTTAAAGGAGCGAGCTTTGACTCACGGCATCCGCGCGCGCCGGCGGATACTTCCTGAGCGCGCTGGATAACCTTATTTGCCTGAGCCCCCCTTGCGCACTCGTTCCGGGGAGCGATGACTAGGGGGCGGTGGATATCATGGCGTGGGCCATGATATCTCCCCAGATTTCGTGGGGCCTCTTCTCATTTCATTACATCCCTGGCCCCCCCGCTGGGCCGCGCACATGCCGCCGGTCATGATTTGCACCCCCCCTTCTTGGACCCCCCCCTCTTGGCCGCTCCCGATTTCGAGGCTCAGGTCGGGCCTGCAAGGGTGGAAAAACCATCCCGACCCCGACAATGCGCGTTTACTAAACAGCCCTGGGCGTTTACGAAACAGCCCTGCCCTGTTCGGTTCCTTCCATGAGTGCGTTCGCTGAACGGGTTCGCTTGTCGGGGTGCTTATTAAAGGGTGGATTTTCTGCTCCTTATACAGGGGGAATGTCCAAAAACAGTAAAACAATAATAGGGGGACGATGTTGTGACTATTCTTGGCTCTTTGGGGATATGTTCTGACTACGTTTGCTTTCTCGCCCGACTCCACCTGTAGGGGGACATGTCCGACCTAGTTCTATGCCTCCTGGATGGGGTCGGAGTCGATGGGGACGGAGGATCGAGCCGCATCGCCGATGCATCGACGATGCGGCTCGATGTGGAGACCGTGTTTCCCCACGCTGGCGTCGCCGATGTATTTGCGACGTCGGCGCGATACCTCGACCTCATTTAGGAGGCCCCCATCTGGGAGGCTTCTAGCCGTTCGAACAGAAGGAGGGGCCCCAACCACGACCAGGTCGATTTCTGGAGGGTCCCTCGTGGGCGATCCCCCCGACCTCGACATGGGCACTATGCTTGTGGTTGTGGTCTGTTTGGCCGTCCTGGGGCGCCACGTCGACCTCGACCGGAGGTGAGCCGGTGTCGCTCTCCCGACGACCGCCCGCATGCACAAGGCACCCCCCCGGGTGTGTCCCTCGACGCTTGTTGTGGTCGCCTGCTGTCCCCGCATAAGCGCCAGCTCTCTTCCTGCGAATCGCGATCAAGACTAGAAAGAAGAACGACCAGCAGATGCATGAACATGAGCTCGGCGTCACCCTAACATACTAATGCTATGTGTGCGTCTCCCCGTCCTCAGGGGCGACGCGCGCACCCAGAAGTCTTTTAGTAGGTGCGTCATGGTGGGCGCTTTCTGGCCGCACCGCTCGGGAAACGACATACTTCAGAGCGTGAATTACCTACCCCGGTTTCGCTTCCAGGCAAAACCAAGCCATACCACGCGCCTCCTCGTCAAGCGGCCTGACCAGTACAGGCTGCAATTTGGCATCGTTTGGTATCTCTTGGAAGCGAGGGTGGTCAAAAGCGAGGTAGGTTTGTTCCCCCCCTAATACTACCAGATGGGTCTAGCAGATGTTCTGGTCGGACGCGCCGTTCCAGGGAGGGCATGCCGTATGCTTCTGTGCGTCTCATAAACTCCTGCGGAGCTCCGCGCCCGTGTCGTGGGTCGGCGCCTGGGCACGCCCGCGCCGCTGCAGGGCACCCCGTGAATCTGAGGAAACGTGGGGCGCCCCAAAAAGGGCCTCGCCTTGGAGGATAGAAGGAGCCGACACCTCTTCTGCGGCGGATGGTCGGCGGAAGGCCGAAGTGAAACGAGGCCGCCCCCGCTGGCGGAAGCCTGCGGGGGGGCGGCGGAAGGCGGCAGAAATGACATATGCACCCCCAAGAGGTGGAAGCGTTTTTTGGCACTGGGTTTCCGGAATCTGCCACGCGTGCGTTTGCGCTGTTATGTCCTCCGCGTCTGCGCCAGGGCGCGGCCGCGCGCGCGCGCGCGATCGCGAGGCCCCCCAGAGGGGGTCGGAGGATTTTTGCAGAGTTGCCAATGCATCGGCGATGCGGCGCGGTCCGGCGACCCCGTCTGCTCGGACCCCGTCGATCAGGCCTTCGATGTGCACGCGCAGAAGAAGGAAGGGCCGCCTTCTACGACCTCGGCGCATAATTCGGCTGCCCGCGCAGGGTCGCGCGTAATTGAGCACCCAGCCCGCGTGGGCCAACGCGTATGGTTCCTCTTTCAAGGTGCGCAAGACCCTCCTGGTCTGGCATGTCTGCGCCTATTGTGCGGTATGTGTAGCGCCTCTTGCTCTTGCGCTCCCGAATGAGTTCAAGACCCCTTGGATCTTCCATTGCAGCCAGGCGGCTCCGCGGTGCATGCGCGTGTAGATTCCAGCCTCTCTTCCTCCTCGTCGGTCTTTCCACTGTTGCTCTTTCGCCGCCTCTCGGTTCGCATGGCTCTTGAGCACAATGGCGCGCTGGGAACGCCGCCCTGGGCGCGCGCGACAGATAAGAGAACGCAGCCTTTTTTGCTGCGGGTCCCGTTCCCGTCAACATCCAGCTGCCTGCGGCAAGTCCCGCTGCCGTGCCAGCCAGCCTGTTGGGTGACGACTAGTCGAGGGGGCGCGGGAGGCCGGCACGCGTGACGCTCCAGGCCTCTTGAGAGGATTGATTGGGCCGCTTGTGGGGGCTCTTCGGGGGTTTTGTTCCAATCATCGTCACCACATACGGTCGGCACGGGGAGGGTACCCGAATGTCTTTCGTGTTTGCTGGATTTGTTGTCAAGCCTGGGGGGAGGTTGCCCTCGAATGTTCCTCACGCTGGCCGGCGGAGGTTCTCATGTTTTTCGGGTTTGTTTTTTTGTCCCGGGTCCGGCCATGCCCCATCCCTTCGGGTTACCATCGTGATATCCACACTTCGGAGCTGTGAATCATGCGCCGCCCAGCGAGGCCTCGCCGACGGCGCGTCGCCGCTGCCCGCGCCGCGCACGCCGCCGCCGTCCGCCGCGGCGGCGCCGCCGAGCCCGAGCCCGAGGCGCCGGCCCTCCTGGAGGGCGAAGCGCCGACGTTGACGACGACGTCGCATGACGACGATGGCGCACGACGACGCACGACGACGGCGACGTCGACGGCGACGACGACGATGACGGCGACGACGACGACGACGCACGACGACGCACGACGGCGACGGCGACGACGCACGACGACGACGTTGACGGCGACGCACGACGACGACGTTCACATTGACGACGACGACGTCGACGACGGCGATTGCGACGGCGACGGCGACCCCGACGGCGACCACGACGACGGGCCTGCAAGTCGGACGGTCCGGGTGATCAAAGCAGCAAGCCTCGTTCGAGGACATCCCGGAACACATCGGTCATCAGAACAATGATAGAAAGAGAGAGAGAGAGAGAGACAAACAGAGAGCGGCGCGAATTAACGCCCCCCCCGTCGGAGCCCGAACAATTGTTTTTGGCACGTGTGTTCAGGTGCTCCGATCGTTCATGTCTTCGACGCGGTTCCCTGGCGAATGCGTGTACTGCCCGCCCCCGGTGCCAGGTGTGCAATGTATGGATGTTTTTCCATACGCGGTCGCCAGAAGTCCCGGCGTTGTCCCCAAAGCGGGAGTTACATTGAGTTCGGCGGCGATCCCACGGCCAAGCAAGGGCCCCCACAGGCCGAAACCGGCCAAGGATCCCCCGCTGGAGGCTTTGTTCTTTCCGAAGGATTTATGCGACAAGTCCGCCTCTCCTCCTCGTCCTCCTCTCCTCCTCTCTCCTCCTCTTCTTCCTCCTCCTCCTCCTCCTCCTCCTCCTCCTCCGTTCCCTCCTCCTCCTCCTCCGCCTCCTCCTCTTCTTCGTTTTCCTCCTCCTTCTCCTCCTCCTCTTCCTCCTCCTCCTCCTTTTCCTCCTCCTCCTCTCTCCTCCTCCTCCTCCTCCTCCCTCCTCCTCCTCCTCCTCCCCTCCCCCTCCTCCTCCTCCTCCTCCTCCTCCTCCTCCTCCTCCTCCTCCTCCTCCCCCTCCTCGGGTCGCCCACGTCCCCAGGGGAAACACCGTGCGCCCCCCGCCTTGTTAGTCTGGAAAAGCGCGAGAGCACGTCGGGGTCCGCCTGCGCCGAGGGCAGGGCGAGGCAGGGGAGCCGCGCGCCGCGAGAGCCGCAGCCTCCGACGTCGCGGCGCCGCAGTCGCGGACGGACGAGCGGGGCTGCCACGCCTGCGAGACAAGGGCCGACCTCCGCGCGCAACAGCGACGACGACGACGCACGACGACGGCGGCGACGGCGAGGACGACGACGACGACGACGCGCGACGGCGACGACGACGAGGCACGACGACGACGAGGACGAGGACGACGATGCGCAACGACGATGACGACGACCACGACGACGACCACGACGACGACGACGACTACGAGGACGACGATGCGCAACGACGATGACGACGACCACGACGACGACGACGACGATGCGCAACGACGATGAGGACGACCATGATGACGACATCTCACGACGACGACGGCGACGACGACGACGACCACGACGACGACCACGACGACCAGGACGACGACGACGACGACGACGACGGCGGCGGCGGCGGCGGCGACGACCAGGACGCACAACGACGACGACGACGACGGCGACGATGACGACTACCACAACGACGACGAAGAAGACGCGCAACGACGACGACGACGAAGGCGACGACCAGGACGACGACGACGCACGACGCACGACGACGACGACGACGTTGACGAGTCTTTCGCGGAGTTCTCGGCTCCGCGCCCGGGGGGGTCACTGGCGAGGGTGCCTCGGTATCAGGGGGTTACCTTGGCGGTCTGGGGAGGTTAAGGAGGAGGAGGGGGAGGAGGAGGAGATGAACGAGGAGGAGGAGGAGGAGGAGGAGGAGGAGGAGGAGGAGGAAGGGGCAAGGAGCAAGGAGCAAGGAGCAAGGATCAAAGAGCAATAGCATGGAGGAGGAGGAGGGTGGGGGAGGGGGATGAGGAATGAGCAAGGAGCAAGGAGTGAGGAGCAAGGAGCAAGGATCAAGGAGCAACTGGCAAGGAACAAGGAGGAGGAGGAGAAGAGGAGAAGAGGAGAGGAGGAGAAGAGGAGACGAGGAGACGAGGAGAAGAGGAGAAGAGAAGACGAAAAGAACAGGAGGAGGACGAGGAGGAGGAGGAGGAGGAGAAGGAGGAGGACGAGGACGAGGACGAGGAGGAGGAGGACGAAGAGGACGAGGAGGACGAGGAGGACGAGGACGAGGAGGACGATGAGGAGGAGGAGGAGGGCGGATGAGGAGGAGGAGGAGGAGAAGGAGGAGGAGGAGGAGGAGGAGGAGGAGGAAGGGCGGAGGAGGAGGAGGAGCAGGAGGAGGAGGAGGGCGGAGGAGGAGGAGGGATGAGCAAGGAGGAAGGAGGAAGGAGGAGGAGGAAGGAGGAGGGGGAGGAGGAGCAAATTTTGGGCCGTCGGAGCCGTCTTGGCCCGTCGAGGTGCGGTGGCGCTGTCATGGGCTGGCCTCTTTGGCCGTCTGAGAGCCGCTTTCGGCGGAAGTTCGGGCCCGGCCAGGGGACGCGTGGAGGCCGTTTCGGGCCGTCCCCGGGTTCGGCGGGACGCCATGCTTCGGGGGCGGAAAAGAGGGGGGTGATGACTAGGGGGGTGGATATCATGGCGGGGGCCATGATATTTCCCCAGATTTCATGGCGCCTCTTCTTATTCCATTACGTCCCTGGCCCCCCCGCTGGGCCGCGCACATGCCGCCGGCCATGATTTGCACCCCCTCTCTTGGACACCCCCCTCTTGGCCGTCCCCGGGTTCGGCGGGACGCCATGCTGGGCGCCGCGAGGCCGGCTACATTTCGAGACTGACGATTATCGGGAGGGAAAAAACACACACAGGCTACACAGACACGAAGAATCGTCGACCCCCAGGCACGTATGAGAAATATGGGGAGTGGGGGGGAAGACAAAAACCCAGAAAATATCAGGAGTCGGGGTATTTGTGTGTATTTATTTGCGTGTCCTTGGGTCCCTTCATAGTATAGGTCGACCATGCCAGATCGAGGGTACCCTCGTGACCTGAGCTTCGCGATCCATGCCTTCTTACATTCCTATGGCAATGTGCCCCTCGAAAGGGTCTCGTGTCCCCTCGCGTGTCCTCTCCAATCAACCCCGGCTGTAGGGCGTTTGAGCCAAAATTCCATGCGTGTTCGTGCGTTCGAGACAACACTCGTGCTTCCCGGTTGGACAAGTGCGGGACGAGCAATGACAAGCATGAAAATATTGGAGGTCCGCGCGGACTTCTCGGATCGGCGCTGGGCCCCCTCCTTGGCGCGCAGAGCGCGCCAGGGGCGGCGCCGGAGGCGTCGCCAGGGGGACTCAGCGCGGATCCGAGAGATCCGCGCGGACCTCGGAGTTTTTATGCTTATGTCATTGGTTGTTCCTCGATCGCAGGGCCAAGTCCCGAGCACAGCGTCCCCGCTCCAGCACCGACGGCCTGCAGGCCCTGCCGGGTGTTGGCCCACGCAGCGGGGGTGGCCGCCACCCCGCGGGAGTTGTACGCCCCTGCGGGTCGCTCCACGGGTGGCTCTCCCTCCTCTTGGGGGCTCCCGCCACGCGGGCGCGCGTCTCTAGGCTCACGTCGGGCATGTCCATCTACAGGAAGAGTGTTCAAAAGTAGATGGTTCTACTAGTTTTGATTATGTTTGCATGTTTCGATTCTTGTCTGACTGTTTCCAATTTTTCTGTCAAAATCCGCCACGCCCGACCCGACTCGACTCTAGGCCTCTCAGATGGGGTCCACGTAGAGGGAGTCGGAGGATGGCGTCGCATCGAGGCACCGACGAGACGGCTCAATGCGGAGCCCGATTTTCTGTCCAAGCAACGTGACTTCGCCCTTGGATCCCTTCCGATCCCGGCGCCCCCACTCCGCAGGACCCCATCTTTGAACCACCGTCGAAGAAGAATAAAGCACATCAGCGTCAGCTTTTGGCGCGGAGCGCCAAAAGTTTACAGTCGGGGCGCTGAAGAAGGAACCTTTTTCGTTGGGGAGGGGCTCCGTGTTCCTTAATTCATTCGCAGCTTGCCTTGGATGTTCCTTAGGTTTTCGATACGGAGTCGAAGGTCAACTCATGGAAAAGAGGGGCCGCGTTCCTTATTTAGGGTTCCTTAGGTCTGTATGTTTGCGCGTTTATGTTCCTCTTCTACGCCGGGCCCTCGAGGCCTCGGGTGCCCTCTCTCTCGCCTTTCCTCCCCCCCCCCCCGCCACCAGGCCGGCCCCCGCGGCCGAGCCGCCGGACTTTGGCGGGGCGCGGGGCGGGGCGGCGGGGGCCGCCGAGGGGGGGAGGATCGGGGGCGGAAGAGAGGGGGGTGATGACTAGGGGGGGGTGGATCTCATGGCGTGGGCCATGATATTTCCCCAGATTTCAGGGCGCCTCTTCTCGTTTCATGACGTCCCTGGCCCCCCCGCTGGGCCGCGCACATGCCGCCGGTCATGATTTGCACCCCCCCCTCTTGGACGCCCCCCTCTTGGCCGCTCCCGATGGGGAGGCGGACGCCCGGGCGTCGATCAGTGGGTGGGGGGGGATTTCGGGGGTGACGAAAGGATCCTGGCATCGCTCGGGCGCGTGCCCTCTTTTCTCGGCGAGGACCGTCGAGGACCCTCCTGGACCATCGAGCAGGCAAAAAGCACGCACGAAACCGAAAAATGCACGGGGAACGACGGCAAGACGGTTCGCCCTGGGGGAAGCGGGTCCTGAGGTGACTGAGCGGGTCCTGAGGTTTTCTCGCCGTGCTCGAGGTCTCGGGGGCCCTCCACGGGCCCTGGGACTGTCAGAAACAGGCTCAGGAGGAAGAGATCTCGTCCTGGGGGAGGGCCCCGGGGTCCAGGACCCGTTTCCCTCAGGACCAATTTCCCATGCTATAGAAGGTGCACCTTTCGTGTTTCTTAGGGGCCCTGACGGGGGCCCTCTGGGGCCCACGAGGGGTCGCCCCCCCCCACGTATCGCCCCCCCCCCCCCCCTTCCCACGAAGCAACGCCCAAGACAGAGACGTGCGCGGGTTGTGAGCAAGAAGTCACGGCAGGAAGTTTCTAGCCGTTTTCGGCCTCTCTGGGGTCAGTCGCCCCCGGGACCGTCGAGAAACGACCGTTCGTTGGGGAAGGGCGGCTACGTCTAGGGAGCCCGTAGTAACACAAGTCAAGAATGTTTGGGAAGGCAGCGTGTGGATGCGGACCCCGACCTTCCAGGCGTGTTGAATCGTAGATTGCATTCGAATTCCAGCCGAGATTTCGAGCAGTCCTGATAGGTCCTGCATGGCTGGATAGCTAGGGAGGGGGAGAGGAAGAGGAGGAAGAGGAGGAGGAGGGAATCGAGGATCGAGGGTCAAGGTTTGGGGGTTTCCAGCTGCTGCTGGCGGGGCCTCCAGGGGACTCCACGAGGCATCCTGGGTCCTCCGCAGAAAACCTGGTTGGGGGAGGAGGAGGAGATTGAAGATTGGAGATTGGAGATTGGAGGATGAGGATGAGCAGCTGCGATGGGAGAAGGAGGGAGGAAGGAGTCAAGTATGGGATCGACTACAGAATGGATTCACCGCAAGCGTGGTCTTCTCTCAGAATCCGCGCACACTGCGAAGAATCTCGTGAAGTTGGGCACTCTCGACGAGAGCATTACAGTCAAAAACCCTAATATGGACGCGCGACTTTGCTCAGGGTACCCTTGCGTCCTTGCTCTTCCTTGCTCTTGCCTCCTTGAGGTGTTCGTCGTCCGCCGCCCCAGAAATCCCTACTTAGGCTTCCAAGGGTCTTGCGTCCTTACCGCGCGTCCTTATTAGGTTTTTTGATTGCAATTCTGGGGGAACTGAATTCTGCAGTCGATCCCCAACTCGGGGGAGGGGAGGAGCAGGGGGGATAGTGGGAGCAGGAGGGAGGGGGTGGGGGGCACGCGCCAGCACGATGCTTTCTCGCCCAGGCCAGGGTACCCAAAAAAAGGGGGGGAGGAGGAGGAGGAGGAGGAGGAGGAGGAGGAGGAGGAGGAGGAGAAAGGGGAGGGGGAGGGGGAGGGGGAAGGGGAGGAGGAGGCTCCTGGGGGCTGATCCTTTCTCTCTCTCTCTGAATTCTTTGCATGCTGCTCCCTTTTTATCTGGTACCCTTTGTACAGGCTGGTCTTGTACAGCCCTCATTGAGCGAGCGAGGACGACGACGAAGACGACGACGACGACGACGCGACGACGACGACGACGACGACGACCACGACGACGACGACGACGACGACGACGACAGCGGCGCCGGCGGCGTCGGGCCAATTACGACGACGACGACGGCAGCGGCGGCGGCGGCGGCGACGACGGCGCCGGAACCGTCTCCTTCGGGCAACGACGATGATGTCGACGACGACGACGACGACGTTGACGACGACGACGGCGACGGCGACGGCGACGGCGACGACGACGACGACGAAGACTGCATCGGCGTCGGCGACGGCGACGGCGACGACGACGCGCACAGGCCCCCCCCCTGACGGCGACGGCGACGGCGACGACGACGGCGACGGCGACGGCGCCGACGGCGACGGCGACGGCGAGGGTGAGGGCGACGGCGACGGCGACGACGGAGACGGCGACGGCGAAGGCAACCGGCGACGGCAACGACGACGACGCACGGGGAGGGGGGCCAAGTTCGAATCTTCAAGTGTCTCAAGGAGGGGGGGGCCCCGCCCCCGGTTCGAACCGCCATCCCTTTGCAACTCGGGGGGGAGGGGCGGGACGCCCCCCCCGTTCGACCCCCCCCTCTTTGTGACTCCCGCCAGTTCGACTGCCCCCTAGTTCGGATTCCCCCTTTGGTTCTAACCCCCACGCCCCCGGGGGGGGGGGCGCGATTGGGGAGGCCCGTGTCCACGGCTCCCCCTTTCCCCCCCCCCTCCCCCCGGGTTCTCCGCGGGCGCTCAATGTTTTGGGGGTGCGGGGGGGCCCTGATGCCAACGTGTCAAGGTATTTGTCCCCAGCAAGGGTCCACGAAAAACATGTTCTCAGAGTTGCGTAGTTACTAGCCGCCCTTCCTGCAGTGTGGTGGAGGGATCCTGGTCTGTCTTGAGCAGCTTTAGCGCCTTCTGCGCTCGAGACCCACGGAGGCACACACACACACACACACACACTTACTTTACCTCGTTCGCTTCAAGTCAGAAGCCCCCTCCCCATCCCCCCCGCCCTCGGAGGATAGCACAGCAGCACCACCACCAGGGGTGCCGCCTCCGGCGAGGTGGTCCGCGATGCCCCCCCCCCCCCCCCGACCCCGGGACCGAACGTGGCGCCTCGAGCGAGGAGGGGACAGCCCGTGCCCCCGCGAGGATCTCCCCCGGCTCCGCCGAGCTGGTGGTGGTGCTTCGCTTTCCCTCCCCGCCGGCCCCCCCCCCCCCGCTCTCTCCCCTGCGCTCCGCCACTCGGCTCCTCGCTCCGGCCCTGCGCCCCTCCGCTCGCGCGCTCCTCGCTGGCTATGGCCCCCCCCTCCTCGCCCGCCTCTCGCCCGGCGAACCGCCTCCCTCTCGATGCTGGACGCTCCTCCTCGACACTCGGCGCTCCTTCTTCTTCTCTCACTGGTCCGAAGCATACCCTTGCCCTGTGTGGGCCTGGGTGGAAATGGCCGTCTGCTGGACTGGGCGCTTGCCATGCGCCCGATCAGCCAGCCGCGCGCTCGGTGTTTCAGCATCCGCGCGTCAGGGCGCAAGGACACGCTGAACGGTTTGCTGTTCGATTGCAGCGACATGCCATGGTTTGCGTCAGGGACGTCTGGGGGCATCGGGGGTGTCCGCGGGGTTTGGAACAGCATTGGAGTGGTGGTGCCTGTACCTTTTGGGGACAGGCACCACCACTCCTTTGCTTTTGGGCCTGCCCGCAGGAACGTCGTTGCAATCTCACGTTCCCCTGGGGGCCGCTGCGGCGGCGTTCGGGAGCGCTCTTGGGGGTCCGCGCGTGCGCCCGAGAGCGATCTCGACCAAACGCCACCTCGACTAGGTACGGGAACGTGTCCGGGGGCACCATCAACGCGCGTCGTCGACTGTGCCCCCCGACGCGTGCCCAGACCTAGCTGGGGTGACGCCAGGCGGGTTTTCCAGGGAATAGCCCCTGGCGACCGCCTGGCGTTCGGGGCCCCAGGCGTTTGGGGCGAGCGCAGGATTGCAGCGGCGCCCGCCCAGGACACCCAGGGCGCATTTTGCGCGTCGAGCCCCAAACGCTTGATTGTGCGCCTTCGTTGGCGCACCCCCGAACGAGTTATTGTAGCCCGAGGGCGACCAATGCGTGGTCGGCCACTCTGCCGATTGGAACGCGCGCGCCTTCGGTGCCAGCGGATGCGTGGAGAAGACAGCGTCCTGTAATGTTCCATGGGCCGTCGCATCTGCACTTGCGCAACGGCGCGTCGCTCCCCCCGCGCTTTGCCACCCCGCCTGGGTAAAGGGTACGGGTATATTTCGCGCCTCCCCCTCCTCCTCCCCCTCCTCCTCCGTCTCCTCCTCCTCCTCCTCCTCCTCCTCCTCCTCCTCCTCCTCCTCCTCCTCCTCCCCCTCCTCCCGCCTCCTCCTCGCCTTCCTTCTCCCTGACATGTTGCGTCGCCCCCCCCCCCCCCCTCCTCGCCTCCCCCCTCCTCGCCTCCGCGCCGCCGCCGCCGCAACAATCGCGGTGCCCTCTCCTGGGCCACGTCCGCCCAAGATCCGACGACCCCAGCCCCCCCCCCCCCCCCGGGCTCCCTCCCGAGCCGCTCGTCTGGCGGGTCCCGTCGCGGCGACGAGAGGGCCTCCGGGAGGCCGAGAAACGGACTCCGGGCGGTGGGGGGATCACCGTTGCTTGGGCTGGCCCTCCTCCGATGCCCCCCCCCTCCCGGCCTATAGAGATCCGGCGCTTCAAAAAATGGAGCAGGCAGGGTTTGGCCTTTTCGGCGTCGGGGGGTCCCCGTCGGGCCGCGGGGGTGTCAAACGACAATTCTGGACGACAAGCCGGCCGTGGGGAAGTGGTCCAGGCTTCCGGAAAAAGTGGAGCAGCCGGGCGTCCGGGAGGGTCCATCGATCCGATCAATCCGATTGATTTTCGATCGCGGCTATGGCCGGCCCGATCCGATGTTTGCACGGCGCTGTGGTGCACCATGGTGCAGCCGATCCGATTCGACGCCTCGATGTTTAATCCGTGCCAGTGCAGCCCGATCCGATGCTCATTCCCTGAGATTGGACGCTCGCGAGAAACCACTTCCAGAGCTCTGGACCCCATGTTTGTTGGCAATTTTTCCAGCCAGATCGATTCGTGGGGGCCCCAGAACGTGGCCAAAACCGCCCGGCTCGAAAAGGTTGAGACGCCGGGACCTCAGGATCTCAGGGCATCGAGCTGCTCCAATGTTTCTCGGCTCGCTGCTCGCTTCGGGTTGACACAGAAGGGGGTCCAGCGACAAGGGGGTGATGCAATAGATTTGGTGTAATAGATGCGTGGGGTGCATCATATGTTTGGGGCGTGCACTATCATTCCGGGGCGCCAGTGTATGCTGCTGGAGTTTCGCGTGCCATGCACTATTTGCACTACGGTGCAGCACAACTCGCCGGCGGCGCAGCATACTTGCAGATGATGTACACTTGCCCCAGATCTAGTGCCCCCCCCCCCCTCTGCAGCTGGACCCCCCTTTGGGTCCCCCAGATGGCTGGCCGATCCTGCCTCCCCGCAGCCCCGCCGGGCCCCCCGAGGCCCCCGGGAGCTGGGCGGCTGGCCCGCGGCCGTGGTGGCCTGGGCGCGCGCCCACGCGCTCGCCGTGCGCCGCGCGGAAAGGGCCGCCGGCGGCCGCCGACGCCGCGGGCGCGGGCGACGTGGTTCGTGGTGGGCGCGGCGCCCGGAGATCCAACGCATTGAAAGAATTGGGCGCTGCGTAATGCGGGGATCGTAGGGATCGTAAATGGGGGGGCGGCGAGTGTGGTCCGAAAAGGTACCCAAATGGTACCGAAACGAGCCCCCTGGGGCTCTGGAGGGGCCCGAAAGGGGCACGAAAGGGGACCTTTTCTGACCCCCCCATTTGTGACCCCCCCATTAAGCCACGCCCAAAAGAGTCAGAACGGAGGTGTTTCACAGTTCTCGGCCTCCAGGGGCCCACCCTGGGCCCCAGGACCGTTGAAGGAGGGCGCAGGATGACGAGGCTGTCCGGGGGAATGGGTCCAGCGTGCCGGGGGCCCCGCATTGGAAAAGTGGCAGCATCGGATCTCTGTGTGGTCGTGGTGGGCGTCCTTGGGATCCTGGCGTCTCACGTTTCTCGAGCCGGGCGTTTTCGGGCGAGGTCGGCCCCAGGTGCCCGCGCAGATCCGATCCCGTCGAAGCATGGCCCCGAACGAGTGGGTCTAAGGCTCCTGAGATGAGTTGTCGCGGTGTCTTCATGTTTCGCGCCGTCGGCTCCCAGGGGTGGTCGGTGCCACGGTGGTCGGCGTGGTCGTCGCGGTCGTCGTCGTGGCGGGCAGGGTCGGCGTCGTGGTCGGCGTGGTCGGCGCGGCCGCCGCCGTCGTTGTGGTCGACGTGGTCAGCGTTGTCGTCTTCTTGGTCGTCCTGGTGGGAGTCGCCGCCGCTGGCGCCGTCGATTCCGCGGCCGCCGCCGTCGTCTCTGCGAGGATCTGTGAGCTCTGCCCCTGCCGGGTTCCCATCGATGCTGGAGTATCGGGCACCCCTGTGGGGATCCACCGGTCCACCCTTGCCTTCAGACGTCTTTCATGCTCTGAGCCCTCGGTGGCGTCTCATGACTTTGATCTGCAGGGTTAGGACTCGGGTGCGGTTGCCAAGTCGCCGCCCTCGCCGTCGCTGCCTCCTCGAACTTGCATCGAGGGTCGAGGTGTGTTGGATATTCTCGGCCGTTCGCAGGTCCTCGGGGAGCCTCCGCGGCGGCACCCGCCGCGCCGCCGACGGCGTCGTCGTCGCCCCCGCCGCTGCCATGCCGCCTCTAGCATCGATCGAGGATCCATCTGGAGGCCCACGGAGGTCGGGCCGGATGGGCCCCAGGAGGAGTCTGGTCAACTGGTCGTGAGCGGATATCTTGCGTTGCATTTTCGGGGGACCTCGCCGGTCCACCAAATTTGTGTCTTTTCTTGTGCCCGACGCGGGCTCGATGCGGACTCGGTGCGAATTTGGCATGGATTCAACACGGATTCCAATCGGATTCGACACGGATCCGACACGGATTCGTCACGGATTCGACACGGATAGGGCCGCGACAGGACAGCCAAGGTTCCCCGAGGATTCAACATGAGACATTTTGCCAGTAGGTGCCAATTTCGCTGGCCCCTCCGATCTTGCCCAGGCTGATCCTGGGGTCTGTGCTAAGTCGGGTCTGCCCCTCCACAGGAGGAACATTCAGAGATAGTCCAGAAATAGTACGGGGACGATTTGTGGGATATTGTGGAGTAGTCTTAGTATTTCAGCCATTCCTCCTCCAAAATCCCCCTGTAGGGGGACAGGCCCGACCTAAGGCTTGCGTCGCGCGCCCTCATGGGCCTTGCGCCCCGGAGGGCCGCGAGGCCGAGGTTCTGGGAGGCTGTTTCCTTTGGTCACGGTGTTCTTCCTTCGGCGTTGCTTGCTCTGCTTGATGTAAGGAGGAGGAGGAGGAGGAGGAGGAGGAGGAGGAGGTGGAGGAGGAGAAGGAGGAGGAGGAGGAGGAAGAGGAGGATGAGGAGGAGGAGAAGGGGAAGGGAGGGGTGGGAGGGACGCAGAAGGCAGGAGCGGAGAGGACGGGGGCACTGGCAACTCCGAAACTGGCGTCGTCTCGTAAGTACCGAGCCGAACTCGTGAGTCGCTCGCGTGCGCAGTTCGGCCTACAATCGTGCATGTCCCTCTGCAGACGGAGTAGGCCAGAGTGGTTGACAAGTGGTACGGTGACGATTTGTCATGCTCATCTGTCTATGTTTGACTATTTCGTTTTTGTCTTACAGAATCCGTCTGTAGGAGGACCTGCCCGACCTAAGCGTAATTAGGAATTTCGGCTCAAGCCGCAGTCAACAACATCACGTAGTCTGGTGACCACCTGGCAGCTCTACCCACGGCGCTGCATAACTTTCCTCATTTATCGACGTGTCCAATGTCGCCGCGGCCCACCGATGCAGTTTGTATGCTTCCTTGACGGTTACGCTTGTGGCCCGCCCGCCTGGGCTCGTAGACTCCGTGGGGCGCATCCGCTACGCCTCAAATTTTGTGAAGGCAGATACGCACAATCATCGCAACAAGGTCCTCGTGTAATCGTGGCCAGACCGGGAGCACTTCTGCAATCCTTAGGTTGATGGGCAGGAACGTCGTAGAAATGGACAGCAATGTCGAACATGTGATCAATCTATGCTGTAACGTGCTGAGTGCGATGTTGTTTGTATGTTTCCTTGTGGCTGAAGCGGCACCAGCAAGTGCGATTGAGTGGGCATGCAGTGGCATGGAATCGCTTGTATGTGTATGCGTGGATTGTTTCCGCTTCCTAGACTTGAGCCCCTTGGCACGGCACCGCATGCACAATACAAGTGAAAAACGCTCAAAGAGGACGATTCAACGTTTGCTTGCGTGTGATGATCCACCATCAACCACGATGGGATGCAGCCCATGCAATGTGATTGACGCATTGTTGTCAGTGTCGCAATCATGTCGTCTCACTCCCCGTGCTGCACCTCATTTCTCATTGCTGGCAGTTCCCATCATAAGCATCATTTTCGCCTCTCACCACAAACCAGCCACTTGCATAATGTACTATCATGGCGACGCCTTGGCCATGCACATGGCTAGCCACGCCTATTTGCATTAGGGTTTGTTTGCGAGATATCCTCGAACAGCATGGAGGGTTCTTCCTTACTGGGGATCTCTAGGATCCATCCGATGGATCCTTGCTAAATGCTGTCCAGGATGTAGCACGAATCACCTCATCCTGGGGTCTGGTCACCTCTTGGTTCGAAAAATCAACGTCGCTACTCTCATTGATCCGGAGGTCTTGGCTTGGTTGATGTGTCTATGTGTGTACGTTCATCGCTTTTACAGCCGAGGTCGGGTGGAGGAAGTTGATGCCTGTATCAAGTTGCCTGCGGTAAGTCCCGCCACCATGCCAGCCCTACCACCTTGTGCGGCGATTATTCGAGGGGCCCACAGGAGGCCGCAACGCGTGGAACCTCGTCCCCAGAGGCATGGGCGAGCTGTCATATGTGACGCGATGTTTCGCGTCGTGCCTGTTTCTTCAAGAAAGGCTGTAATGGCTTGGAGGATGAGGATAAGGAGGAGTTGGAGTTGAGGTTGTGGCGGACGATGGGGATGAAACGCATGATCACATGATGATGCGATCAAATGACGATGTTGATGCCCATGGATCTGTTGTGTGCTGTTGGTGAATATGATGGTGACGGTGATGAGGAGAAGGAGGAGGAGGAGGCGGAGGAGGAGGAGGAGGAAGGGGACGGGCGTCGCGTCTCGAGCTGCAGGGGATGCCCGAGGAGGTGAGGACGAGCGGGCGCTAACTCGGCGGGGCACACGCGCGGCTCCCGCGCGCGCCTCCACCTGGCAGACGGGGGGGCGGCGGCGGCGGCCCCGTGCCCCCCCCCCCCCCCCCCGAGGCGGGGGGCGGCCGCGGCGGGCGGCGCCCGGCAAGCGCGCGCCCGAGGCGCCGCGCCTCCCGCCATGGCGTGCCCCGCCGGCGCCGTGGAGGAGCTGGCGCAGCTGCTGCGGGCGGCGCACGCGCCCGGGCCGCAGATGGCGGAGGCCTGCCCGGGGCGGCGCCCAGAGACGGGCTCGGCATCGCTCGGACGTGTGCATTTTTCCTTCGGCGAGGGCCCTCGAGGAGCATGCTTGAGGATTTGGCGAAACGCCCACGCACGGAACCGAAAAAAACACAGGGAATGGACGTCCGAGCGATGCCCAGGACGGAGGCCTGCCCGGGGCGGCGCCCAGAGACGGGGGGGATCGAAGAAGAATCGGGGGCCCCCAAACGGGGTGGTGACCACACCGTGTGGCGAGTCGATGGGGAGTCGGGGTCACCACGCGGTTTTGGGATTTGGGTCGTTCTCCGAGGGTGTCTCGGGTGACTGGAGCCTCCAGGGTCCCAAAACCGTGTGGTGACGGACCGTGCGGTGAGGTCTCTTGGGGTTCCGAGGTCACCGCACGGTCTGTCACCGCACGGTCTTGGGATCCCCAAAAGAAGAAGAAGAAGAAGAAGAAGCAGAAGAAGAAACAAAACAAGAAGAAGAAAAGTATAAGCATAAACTGTTGGCGCTCCGCGCGGATTTCTGGCGCCGCCCTTGGCGCGCTCCGCGCGCCAGGGATGGGGGGCCCGGCGCAGAGCCAAGAAGTCCGCGCGGAGCGCGACGAGGTTCATGTTTATGCCGTGTGTTTCTCCTTCTATGCCGGGGCGGCGCCCAGAGACGGGGGGGGAGGACGGCCGGGGGCGTCGAGGGGGGAGGGAAGGCGCTGCCGCCATCGGGGGCGTCGGAGGTGGGAGGGGGGAGAAAGACTCAGATGGCTCTCGGAGGGCTTCTGGGCTCGGGGTGCCTTTTCTGGCAGCTGCGCCCCGCCGAGGGCTTCAGGGAGGCGCCCGGATGGCCCCGAAGGGCCGCCAGAGAGGCCCGAGCCGCCGCCCGAGGACCGCCCGGCGTCGAAGAGGCCCAGGGTGTGTGTGGATGTCATGGGCGCCTCTTGGCCCCCCTCACCTCTCAGGAGGGGAAAAAACACACAGACACAATTAATCATCGATTCCCCAGAAAATATAGGAAACTATGGGAAATGGGGGGAAGACAAAAACCCAGAAAAAATTGGAAAATTTGGGGAATCCTTTTATTTGTGTGTATTTATTTGTGTGTCCCAGGACCCCTTTATTCTCGTGCACCCGAGCAGGGTCCAGCTCGATGCGGCCGACGCGATGCGGTGTCGGTTTCGGCCAGCCCGCTCCGATCCAGCTCCTGTGATCGGTCGGTGCCGCTGCGGTCCGATGGTTGCGCGGCGTCGTCGTGCCTCCTGGCGGGGCTGACCTGGTTCGATTTCGACACTCTCGCATTGCGATGTTCCAAAAGGCGTTGGCCTGGATCACCAGGAGATGTTGCGAGCACCAGGGAAGCATCGAGACCGGACGGGTGTTGGGCCCTCGGAGGCGATGCTCGTTCGGCACCTCGCCAGTGTATCGGGCGGACACTGTTTCGGTACTTTCCAGTGTGCTCGAAACTATTTCTCGGATGTAGTCCTTGAGTGCGATGGGAACAATCCTGGAGGGGAAAAACACACAGACACAATTAATCGCCGATTCCTATGAAAATATGGGAAAATATGGGAAGTGGGGGGAAGACAGAAACCCAGAAAATATAGGAACATATGGGGGATACTTTTATTTGTGATTATTTATTTGTGTGTCCTGGGGCCTCTTAACCAATTATCGATTTGGCGCCGGCGGAGGCCTGGCGTCCGTGGACGTCTCCTTCGCACACAGACTGACGGAGGCCCGCGCTTTGCTAGATCGGCGCTGGGCCCCGCCCGGCAGCGCCTCGCCGCCGCCCATGGCGCGCTCGGCGCGCCAGGGGGGGCCAGCACAGATCCGCGAAGCCCGCGCGGACCTGCGACAGTTGATTCCTCACCCGACCGGCTGGGACTGTTATCAATGAAGGGAAACGATCAAAAAAACAAACTTTCTGGGGCGGACGATTAAAACAATGGTTTCGCGGGCCTCCTCGCCCCCGCAATAGCGGGGGGGCAGGGCAGGCTGACGGGGGGCTGACAATTCCGGACTTGCTTTGCACACTCGGCAGACCGCGACCGCCAGGCCACCAGGAGCGCGGTGCCTCCCGGGCGTTCCGCCTCGCGTCTTCGGCGAGTGACGACGGCATACCGCGGCCGCCAGGCCCCAGGCGGCCCGTGGATCCCTGGGGATCCCGCCTCGCGTTCTCGGGCGGGGATCCTCTCGAGGACGACGACGACGATGACGATAACGACGACGACGACGACGACGACGACGACGACGACGACGACGACGACGACGACGACGACGACGACGACGACGACGACGACGACGACGACGACGACGACGGCGGCGGCGGCGGCGGCGGCGGCGGCGGCGACGACGACGGCGGCGGCGGCGGCGGCGGCGACGACGACGACGACGACGGCGGCGGCGGCGACGACGACGACGACGGGCGAAGCCCAACCTCGGGCTCCCGCGGCCGATCGGGACGCTTCGGCCCCCCCCTCCGAGCGCTCTCGGCGAGGCGAGAAGCTGCGGGGAGGCACCCTCCCAGGGCCGGAGAGCCCGCAGGGAGCCAGCAGGAAAGCGGGGGGCTCGCTCCGAGCAGAAGTAGTCACGGTGCCTCGTTCTTCTTCTGCTCCTGCCCTGTCCGAATTTCATGGGCAACGTTTGGGGGGGACAAGCTCCGGGGGGGATCGCATGGTCCCCCGATCGCGCATGAATCGCCGGGGGCCTGATGGCCCGACCCGTGCAGGAGCGTGCGGATCCGCTATGGTCGGGAGCTGGGCGCCAATCCATCCACGATGTGTGTGCCGCCGATTCCAGCCCGATGCTTCCCCCCCCCCCTCCGAGCCCGTCCCCCCCCCCCCCCCAGCCTAACTTTGCCTCTCCTGCTTCGGAGGCTTCCGGGAGCGGGGTGAGGCCTAGGGTTAATGCGGGCGTGGTTCTCTACAGGAGGAGTATGCAACCATAGTAAAAAAAATGTCAGGGGACGATGTTTCGATTATTGCTGTTAATGTTTAAGCTTTTGCTTAACATTTTCTTATTCGTCGTCCAAAATGCCCCTGTAGAGGGACCTACGCCTGGGGGGGTCTGCAGATCGTGGCCGGTGCCATGCCGGCCCTCCGGCGCCATGGCCCCAGCACGCCCCTTGGCCCTCCCCCCCTCGTCCCCGCACGTGCCTCTAGGCCAGGGTGCCCCACCCCCCTCCCTCCCTCCTCCTCCTCCCGCCCTCCCTCCCTCCTCCCTCCCTCCTCCTCCCTCCTCCTCCCTCCTCCTCCCTCCTCCCTCCTCCTCCTCCCTCCTCTCCCTCCTCCCCTCCCCTCCTCCTTCCCTCCCCCCTTCCTCCTCCCTCCCTCCTGCTCTCCTCCGCCCTTCCTCCTCTTCCTCCTGCCTCCCTCCCCTCCGCCGTCCTCCCTCCCTCCTCCCTCTCCCTGTCCCCTCCCTCCTCCTCGTCCTCCTCCCTCCCTCCTTGTCCTCCTCCTCCCTCCTCCCTCTGGCGCCTCGGGGGCAGCGGCTCAGGGGCAACGGCGGAGGTGGGGTGGGTGGGGGGGCGGGCCCTGGCGGGGGCTCGCAGGGGAGGCGCGGGGGGGGGGGGGCGCGGACCTCCGAGGGGGAGGGAGGGGGGGGGGAGGGAGGAGGGAGGAGGGGAGGAGGAGGAGGAGGAGGAGAGGAGGAGAGGAGGAGGAGGAGGAGGAGGAGGAGGAGGAGGAGGAGGAGGAGGAGGAGGAGGAGGAGGAGGAGGAGGAGGAGGAGGAGGAGGAGGGAGGTAGGGAGGGTGGGAGGAGGGAGGGAGGGAGGGAGAGAGAGGGAGGGGGGGAGGGCGGGGAGGGGAGGGGAGGGGAGGGGAGGGGGGGGGGGAGGGGAGGGGAGGGGAGGGGGGGGAGGGGGGAGGGGGGGGGGAGGAGGGGAGGGGGGGGGAAGGGGGGGGGAGGGGAGGGGGGATGGGGGGCAGGGGGGGGGATGGGGGAGGGGACAAGCTAGGTGCGTTCGCGTCATATCTGATGTCCTACTCCTCCCTCCCATCCCTTACCATGGGTAGACCATTCCATTCGCCCAGTCGGATGTGGAGCAGGGCAATGATTCCGAGAGGGTGCGCGATGCATGGTAGAGCACGGCGTCGTAGCAGGGCGTAGAAGAGCACGGCAGAGCGTAGTATGTCAGAGCATGGCGTGGCGTTGCGTAGTGAATAATTGCATCATAAAATGCATCGCACAGAGGCACATAACAGAAAATGGCATAGGACGGCTTTGAAGATCAAAGCGTTGCAGGGCATAGCATGGCGTGGCACGGTGTTGTCAAGCACTGCAAATCCTAGCATTGCAGCTGAAGACAAGGCATCGCATAGCGGAACACCACATAGAGTTGCATTGCATTGCATGCCGTGGCGTGGCGCTGGAAATAATGACGCCAGCGTCGCAGCGAGAGCACGATTCGGAACGAGCGGAAGCGTGGATATGAGGCCATGGCTGCAGCGGGAACACGATTCGGAACGAGCGGAAGCCCGGAAACGAGGCCAGCGCTGCAGCGGGAGCACGATTCGAAAGAAGCGGAAGCCCGAACTTGAGGCCAGCGCTTCAACGAAAGCAACATGTTGAAACAAACACCCATGCGAAAACCGAATTCCCGGGAATCCTATGTGTAAAAAAATGCGCGGAGGGGGGGCGAACATCTCCCAGGCGTCATCAGAAGAGAGGGAGAGCAGTGTTCACATTGTCATACTGTGTAACTGTGGGAGGGAATGGGGAGGGGGAAGGAGGGGGGGGGGAGGGGGGGGAGGGAGGGGGGGGGGAGGGAGGAGTAGTCGGAGGAGGGAGTGGGGGAGGGAGGAGGAGGGGAGGAGGGAGGAGGGAGGGAGGAGGGAGGAGGGAGGGGAGGAGGGAGGGAGGGAGCAGGGATGGGGGGAGGAAGGAGGAGGATAGGAAGAGGAGGAGGAGAGGAGAGGAGGAGGAGAGGAGGAGGAGGAAGAGGAGGAGGGAGGAGGAAGAGGAGGAGGAGGAGGAGGAGGGAGGGAAGATGAGGGAGGGAGGAAGCGAGGGAGGGAGGGAGGAAGCGAGGGAGGGAGGAGGCAGCAGGAGGCGAGTGAGCTTGAGAAGAGGCAGGACACATGCTTCTCTTCCTCCTGGCCCGCCTGCCCCTCCCCCTCCTCATCCTCCTTCTCCCCCTCCATTCTCTGCCCTCTGTCCTGAAGTCGGGCCTGTCCCTCTACAGGAGGAATAAGCAAGAATAGTCCGGGGACGAGTTTTTGTGCCTATTTTTGAATATGTTTGACTATGTCTTATCTTTCGCCCGACATCCGCCTGCAGGGGGACATGCCCGACCTGGCTCTGTCCTCCATCCTCTTCGTCCATCCTCTTCCTCTCCTCTTCCTCTCCCTCTTCTACCCTCCATCCTCTTCCATCCTCCATCCTCCACCCTCCATCCTATTCTCGTCTATCCTCCACCCTCTTCCTCTTCGCCCCCTCCGAGCCGAGGCGGCCGAGCGGCTCCGCTCCGGCGAGGCGCGGCAGGGCTTCGGGCCCGCGCTGCTGCAGCTCGTGGGCAGCGCGGCCGCAGGCCCCGAGATCCGGCAGGCCGCGGCGCTGTACTTCAAGAACTTCGTGCTGCGGTGCTCCGAGGATTTCTGGCCACATCCACCTCCTCCTCCTCCTCCTCCTCCTCCTCCTCCTCCTCCTCCTCCTCCTCCCCCTCCTCCTCCTCCTCCTCCTCCTCTCCTCCTCCTCCTCGTACTCCAGATTTCGTAATAAAAGGGAGGGGGTCTGGACCCTCCGAACAAGCCATTTCAGACCTCCCCCGTGGGAGAACCCTCCAAACATCGTCCCCAGACCCCCCCAGGCCCTCCAAGATAGCCTGGAAGAGACCCCCCCCCGAAGTGAGACCCCCCTCCCTTTATTACGAAATCTGAGGTACGGGTACAGCCGAAGACCGATTTCTGACCACGTCCACCTCTGGATCCTCGACTCTATGACAGGCCCTCGGGGGTGGCAGTGGGCAGCTTTTCCTTCCCCTGGGGCGGGGAAGCTGCCCACCTCCACCGCTGGAAACCGCTTTTCGCAGGGCACCTCGGGAAGTGGGTGTGGTCAGAAATCGGTCTCCTATACAGCCAGGACCCCAGGTAAGGGGACCCGGTTAGTGGTAGGGCCCCGGAGCCCCTAAATTGGGCTGCATTCTTCAACCAGGTTTGCCGTAGCCGGTGCTTTTTCGGGTGACGGCAGTTCCTGTCAGTGGAACGGGCGGGGGGGCGTCCCCCAGTACACATCACCAAACCAGGTCCCACTAAAGCCAGTTCTGCCAACGCCCGAGAGGTACTGCCCTCCCTTCGTTCTCTCCTCTCACGGCCTCCGGGGAGGCCCTCGTCGCCACCGCTGCATTCGCCTGGGAGTTCTGGTCGGAGCGCACCCCAGGAGAGGTCTGGGGAGTGGCGGTATCGGTACCGTTGGGGTTCCCCAGGTGTTGGCTGGCCGAGGCCTCGGGTGCGACCGAAAGGGGCAGAGACGGAATGGTCAGGGGAGGAACAGATGCCGATGCCCGATGCCGCCCCTCAGATTTGGGCGCCGCATGTTTTTTCACGCCGGGCGTCGTCGCCCGTTGCCTGGCTCATAGGCAAGCACAAACCGATCCGGCCCGAGACATGCTGCAGAAGGGTTGGGTCCCAGGTTTCGATCGTGAGATCTTACGAAGTTTCGGGTCTTCCGAAAGGGAGAATGCACGAAGAGGAAGAATACACACACCTCAACTCTCGGAGTGCCGCGCAGATTCTTCGGCTGGATCTACATCGAAATCTTCGTGAGAACGCATCTCAAGGGCGTTCGCGGTGCGGTCGGTTCGGCTGTGTCGCAGTCGTTTGCGTGCGGTCGGTTCGGTTCGATTCGCACGGTTGTTGTGTCGTGTCCGCCTCGTTGAGCCCCTCTAAGTGGCTTGCGGCCTCCCGGTTTCTCTGGGCTTCGGTTTCGTGGTTGGTTCGGTCGGTTTTCGACCATGCTGTCGCCGTGGACCACCTGGCATCGCTCGGGCGCGTGCATTTTTTCTCGGCGAGAACCCTCGAGGACCATCCTGGACCACCGAGCAACGAAAGAACACGCACGACACCGAAACATGCACGGGAAATGGACGTCCGAGCGACGGCGAGTGGCAGACAGGGGCCCAAGATCGACACCTGCCCAGAGTTCCGCGCGGACGGCCCGAGTGGGCACCCGGTGGCCGCGGCGCCGCCTCCGGCCCGCTCCGCGCGCCGAGGGAGGACGGTCCAGCGCCGACCCCAGGAACCCGCGCGGGCCTTCGCAAGCTGATGTGAGTCTCGGTGCTTCGTCTCCTGGAACTATGATGTTCCAACCTATTCTATCGCGGGCCTAAAGGTTGACACCAACACCAATATCGGCGGTGTGCCTCCACCGAGGGAAGAATACCCAGATACCGGTGATGGTGGCAATAGTCTGGCTTCCAAGGTGACCGAAATACTACCACCAACACCGAAATCTAGGATCATCTTCCCCCCGTGGAGGCAAACCCCTGTGTTGGTGTTGGTGCCCATTTCCAGGCCTCCAACTTTAGCTTTGATCACCAGAGAGAATTTCGAGCGCCAGAAGAGCATCCAAAAACTCTAGGAGTTTCACGTGTCGGGCCCTGGGAGACACTCGTCCGACACTGTTTCGACACTCTTTCGACACTTTTCCGGGTGCTCGGAATTATTTCTGGGATGTGGTCCTTAAGTACGATGGGAGCAACATAATCTTGGAGCAACAGCAGGTCCTGTCCATTGTGAACCGGCTTCGGTGCCGGTGTCGCCACAGACGCCGTCCGCTCGAGAGACAAGCAGCGCCTCCTTGCCCGGCAGCGGCCGCCACCGTCTGCTTTGGACAGCACTGCTGTTGGGCAGCGCTCTCGACGCGGGACAGTGTCGGAGGCCACGAGGTTGAAGCCATCTAGGCCTCCTAGATGGGGTCGGGGTAGATGGGGTCGGAGGATCGCGCCGCATCGCCGATGCATCCACGATGCATCGGCGATGCGGCTCGATGTGGGGCCCAATTTTCTCCGCGCCGACGTCGTGGATGCACCGCCGACGTCGCCAGTGCATGGCCGATGCATCGGCGATGCATCGGCGATGTATCGGCGACGCGGCGCGATCCTCCGACCCCATCTACTCGGATCCCATCTAGGAGGCCTCTAAGCCAGCACCGGTAGCGGCGGTGTGCCTCCACCAAGGGAAGACAGAGCCAGGCCTCGAGCATTCCTGCCGCAGTCGTCGGCCGATTCCCCCCCAATGATCAGTGTTGGCGGTGGGTTGAACGAGCTGCACTTCGACCGCAGTCTTCCCCGCGCGTGTCAACTTTGAATTTTGGGAGGCGGCGGAGAGTCCACTAATTGTTTCCGTCTACCGTCCCGATCCCGGTGATGGTGGTGATAGCCGGGCTTCTTCGGTGGCCGAAGCACGACCACCAGGACCAGCATCTGGGGTCATCTTCTCCTGGCCAAGGCAGCTCCCTGTCTTGGTGTAGGTACCCATGTCTAGGCCTCTCGAATCATACATCTTGAACCGCCTGGGGGATCGCCAAGGCGGTGGTTACGGATGAATCAGAACTTGGCGTCGTATTTTGTATGTTCCCATCTCCGTCCCAAGGTCCCTCCCAGGGTCCCTCCCAGGGCCCATCCTGGCTTGTTTGTCGACGCGGATCTTGCCGCGGTGACGAGAAGCCTCCAGGAGGTCCAGACGATGTGAAGAACGCACGGGAGGGCCGCCGTTGCCTCGACTGACCCTCCCCCAATGATGGGCGTGCGGCCCACTTGTCCCGCACTGGTTGCCAGGGGTTGATTGGACAGCTGGCCCTTTTTGATTATATGCAATCAGCGCGCCCGCGCGCAGTGTTCGCGAAGCTTTTCCGCGGCTTTGGCGATTTTGCCGGAGCGCCCCACGGGTCGGCCGTGGGCTCAGCGGCATCCGCGCATGGCTGCCTGGTGCAGAGATAAGCGAAGGTAATGCAACCGAATTGGGCTTAACAGCCCTGACACCACGATCCCATGATTGATGACACTTAAGTCGTGGTCGTCGTCGTCGTCGTCGACGGCGCCTTCGTCGTCGTCGTCGTCGTCGTCGGCGTCATCGGCGGCGGCGGCGGCGGCGGCGGCGGCGGCGACCCAGCGTCGACGGCGCCCTCGTCGTCGTCGTCGTCGTCGTCCCCAGCGTCGTCGTCGTCATCGTGGGCGCGCCGAGAGGCCAGCGCGATGGCCCATGTGGACCGCGAGCCGATCCGGCGCGCGCTGGTGCCGCTCATGGCCTCCGCCCCGAAGCCCGTGCGCGCCGCGTTGGGCGCGGCCCTGGAGGAGCTAGTGGCGGTCGACTTCCCGACGGACTTCGGGCAATAAAGAGCGGCACGAGCTCGGAAAAGGCAGTTCGGCTTTTCAAATGTCTTCCTCGGTTTTCGGCAGTTTCACATATTCGGGATGCTTTCCGGCGTTCCGGGGGGGGCCCGGATCGTCCCGAACGGCCGCCAGAGGCTCGATTGACCCGAAAGCCACCAGCAAACGAGGGGGGGGGGCCTCCTCAGAAGGCTCGGAAAGCCGAAGACACGGACAACTTTTGAGAGGGCGCGCGGGTTGTTTGAGAATCCCTCTGGTTCCATCCAGCAGGGTGCGCGGCGAGGTCAGAGTTTCTGGGTTCGGGGCAGTTTTCGGGCCCCACGTCTGTAACGGAGACGGGGGTGGATCCCGGGGGGTTTGGGGACCGCTTTGGAGTGGAGCTGCCGTCCACCCCCTCTCCTGACCGATGGCCTGGGGTCCTTCCTAACCCATTCGGACCCTCTGGCCGCCTCTGAGCTGAGCATCGGTCAGGATGTGTTCGTGGAACTTCGAGGGACGAGGGTGGGACTCAGTCAGGAGGGAAAGAAACACACAGACACAATTCATCGGCGATTCCCCAGAAAATGTAGGAACATCTGGGAAGTGGGGGGGAAGACAAAAGCCCAGAAGGTGTGGGAAAATATGGGGAATCTTTTTGTTTCTGTGTATTTGTTTGTGTGTCCCAGGGCCCCTTGCGACACGGAGAACTCGCGACGGACGGCTTCGAGCCCTCGGCGGCCCCCGGGGGCCGGGGGCCCTCGCCTGGCCGTGGGGCCGTCAAGAGACCAAGCTAGGCGGGAGGGGACGCCGGTCCTGTGGAAGTGGTAGGCGAACATTTTTGGGTTCTGAGCAGTTCGTGGTATGACTATAAGAATGCCGGGACGGTCGGTCCCTGCTCAATTTCGGACTCCCAGATCCCCATCGTTTTCTAGCGCCTCCCTATCTCGAGAGCCGATGTGCTTCTGCTGTGCGCTGCTGCTCTTCGGGAGGGCCCGGGCCCAATCGACTGCATCCGCTTGCCTGCTTCATGTTCTGACCTACTTCTGCCCGCCGACGCGCGTGGCAAACATCACGACGTGGCGTGTCCCGGTTTCTGGGCCGAGGCTCTGCGTATAACCAGGCGGTCGGGGGGCCCTCCGCTCCGAGTGTCGCTCTCCGCCTGTCCATGGGAGGAGCGCCTCGGAGCCGCGTGGGGGGCCGTCCTGGGCCCGTCGTGGGCCTACGACACGTAAGAGTGGCCTTTCGCCGGAGTGACCTTCGGTGCGGGCCCAGTGGGGTACCCCGATCACCGATTGCGATGCGACAGGTGCGTCTCGCGCGCTCGTTTTTGGCCCCCCCCCGCGGCCCCCCAAAGAGCCGCGCACCAAAGGTCACTCTTACCCAGGGTCACTCTTGCGTGCAGTCGAGTGGGGAGAACGCGGGAACACCTTGGAAGCTGCATGGGTTTGACTCGGTGGTTTGACTCGTGGGGCCGCAGTCGGGGTCCTCCTGGGCCCGCACGGGGCCGCCACCACCAGTTCCTTATCGAAGGAGGAGAGACGCCAAAGCAGAAACTCTTGGCGCTCGTCGCGGATTGCTTTGGATCCTCGCGGAGTTCTTGGATCCGCCCCTGGCGCGCTCCGCGCGCCAGGGAGAGGCGGGTCCCGCGCGGACCCAAGACGTCCGCGCGGAGCGCCCAGAAGTCCGTGCCCGTGGCGCTGTCGTTCTCCTCCCCCGCAGCTCCCGGTTCCTCGAGGGACCGCGCCTCGAGTTTCTCCCCTGACCTTCCAGATAGCTATTTTTTAGCACTGGAGACCTAAAAACCTAAAACACTAAACGAAACAGCCTAAAACCAAGTTGTAGAATAGCTCTGGGATAGGTTTTTGCGTCGCGTGCTATTTTTTAGCCCTCCTAGAAGGTCAGGGTCCCCGCCCTCCCGCCCCGCGCAGCGGTGCCGCGCGCCGCGAGAGCCCGCACGGCGCAGCGCGCCGCCGGGGACGCCCCCGCGACGCGCCGAATGGCGTTCCCGGCCTGCCGAGCGGGCGCTCCCGGGGTCCGCGCAGGCCTCTTCCTCCTCCTCCTCCTCCCCCCCCCTCCTCCTCCCCCCTCCTCCTCCTCCTCCTCCTCCTCCTCCTCCCCCTCCTCCTCCTCCTCCTCTCCTCCTCCTCCTCCTCCTCCTCCTCCTCCTCCTCCTCCTCCTCCTCCTCCTCCCCCTCCTCCTCCTCTGCAGGCAGCCGGTTTCGGCCCCGCCGCCGGGCCCATTCCTCGATACATGGGCGCCTCCGGCGCTGGGAGGCGCCAGGAAAATCAGCTACGTGAGCTGATTCTCAACCCCCCCCTTTGCTATCCCCCCGTTTCGCCCGACCCGACTGGCGGCCTGGCGGCGCCTCCGGCGTCGCCCCCTCCGTAGACGCGCTGACGGTGTGTTGGCTGACGGCGAAATATAGGGTACAAACATTGCAGGAAGGCGTGGCTCGTGGCCAGACCAATTGCAGGAACGCGTGGGGCTCGGGCCGAACGACGGGGGGGGGATTGGGAGGGGGGGGGAAACGAAATCTGCTGCAGGCAGCCGGTTTCGGCCCCGCCGCCGGGCCCATTCCTCGATGCATGGGCGCCTCCGGCGCCGGGAGGCGCCGGGAAAATCAGCTACGTGAGCTGATTCCCTGACCTTCCAGGAGGGCTAAAAAATAGCACGCGCCGTAAAAACCTAGCCCAGAGCTATTCTACGTCTTGGTTTTAGGCTGTTTCGTTTAGTGTTTTAGGTTTTTAGGACTCCAGTGCTAAAAAATAGCTCTCTGGAAGGTCAGGGTTCCCGACCCCCCCCCCTTTCGCCCGACCCGGCTGGCGGCCTGGCGGCGCCTCCGGCGTCTGCCCCCTCCGTAGACGCGCTGACGGTGTGTTGGCTGACGGCGAAGTGGGAAGCAAACATTGCAGGAAGGCGTGGCTCGTGGCCAGACCAATTGCAGGAGCGCGTGGTCCATGTTTTCCTGCACCTCGCGGTGTCGTTCTCGTTCGATGCCTGCGGAGCTAGTTGAGATGTGGGAAACGGCGCCGCGTGATCTCCTACGTTTTGTCAGAGCCCCGAATCATCAGGGGTAATTCGGTTCAGGGCTAACTCGGGTTCGTTTTCGGAATTCCGAACCCGAGCTACCCTGGACCCGAGTTACCCCGGATAATGCGGGCGTCCAGAGCCCCACCATCATCAGGGGCAACTCGGGTCAGGGCTTAACTCGGGCTCCTCCTTCGGGAACCCAAGCCCGAGTTACCCCGGACCCGAGTTACCCCGGATAACTCGGGCGCCCGATTTTGCTCTGCGAGAGCCCGGTGTCACAAAAACAGGAGTTCCAACCGCACCGTGCCCAGATGGTCTGGTACCGGAGATTTTCGGTAGCGATTTCGACGCACCCCGAATTTCGGTAGCGACCGGATCTTCGTTTGAGGGCGTTGAAATAGCGGATTTCAGAACGGTCTGATACCGGTATTGGGCGCTACATTTCGGTATTTCGGTAGCGACCGATCGCTGCGGAGCGCTACCGGAAATTTTCGGTAGCGGACCATCAGGGTGAGCCGAGCCCGCCGTCGGCGCGGCCTCGGCCCCCGGAAGCGCTCTCCGCGCGCCAGCGGGGGGGGGGGGAAGGGCAGCGCCGGCGCCCCAGGAGCCCGCGGACTCTCCAGGGGTTCTGCTCCTCCCGCGGGGGTGTCTCGCATCATGCAGGGACAGGAAACACAGACAGTGAATCGGCGATGTCTGGGAGAATGTGAGGAATACATCGGAGCGTGAATTACCTACCCCGCTTTCGCTTCCAGGCAACACCAAGCCATACCACGCGCCTCCTCGTCAAGCGGCCTGACCAGTACAGGCCGCAATTTTGCATCGCTTGGTATCTCTTGGAAGCGAGGGTGGTCAAAAGCGAGGTAGGTTTGTTTTCCCCCTAATGCAGTCGGGGCCCTGAAGAAGGAACTTTTTTCGTTGGGGAGGGGCTCCGTGTTCCTTAAGTGTTTCACGGCTCGCCTCGTATGTTTTTTATCGGAGATCGAAGTTTAACCCATGGAAAAAAGCGGCCTCGTTCCTTATTTAGGGTTCCTTAGGTCAACGCCCCCACTGTATGGCACGTGGGGGGAAGACAGAAACCCAGAACATATGAGAATGATGTGGCAATCCTGGGATTGATGTGTACTTGTTTGTGTGCCCCTGCGCCCCCTCGTTGCATGCACCGCGCCGCAGTGGCGTATCCCGAGGCGTCGTCGGCCCTCGGCCCAGGAACCCAGACCCCCCCCGAGTCGTGACAAACATCACGACGGTAGGTTCCTCCAGATGTTCGGCCTCTGGGGGCCCCTACCCTGACCTTCCAGAGTGCCAACAAAATAGCACTCCAGACCTATAAACCTATCTGGGCTGCCTCAAACCTCGACAGGAATTAGGACGTCGATGTCCTGGTGCAATTTTTGTTGCTCTCCTGGAAGGTCAGGGTACCGGGCCTCGGGGCCGTCAAGAAACGGTACAGGACGACAAATCGGTCCCGGGGAATGGGTCGGGACCTTTCGGGGTCGACGTCATGACAAAAATCATGACGTCGGGGGTCTGGGAATGGTGTGCGGTGCACGGCGTTCCGGTCTTCGCGTCCGAAGAACTATAGGCACCGTGCCGCGCTGGAGCGGCGCCTGAAGGGAGTGCTTGCGTGAGCGACGGAAGAGCACGTGTCCACTGCGCGGACATTGGAGCGTAAGTTGCCCGCGTACGGTCGCGCGTGAGAGCTTCCGTTCACCACCCAATCTGCCACGCTGGCGGCCTGAGACAGCCACCGCGTAAGCTCGCTGTGTCGTCTCGCGTAAGGCCCGTTTCTTTTAATATGGTTGACCTGGTACAGTACATGAGCCCCGTTCTCGTGTTCACGCCGGCTCTTAATCAGGGAACACAGGACGACGTAAGCATACATTTTCGGAGGTCTGCGCGGATTTCACGGATCGGTGCTGGACCCCCCTCCTTGGCGCGAGGAGCACGCCAGGGGCGGCGTCTCAGGCGCCGCCAGGGGGGCCCAGCGCCGATCCGAGAATCCGCGCCGAGCGATGTTATTCAGTTTTCCCCCTTCCTAGTTTGTACCGACTCTTATCGGGTGCGGCAAAGAGGGGGCTGATGACTAGGGCGGGGGATATCATGGCGGGGGCCATGATTACTATTTCCCCAGATTTCATGGTGCCTCTTCTTGTTTCATTGCGTCCCTGGTCCCCCCCCCTCTGGGGCCGCGCACATGCCGCCAGCCATGATTTGCCCCCCCCTCTTGGATGCCCCCCTCTTGGCCGCCCCCGACCTTTTTCGCTCCCAGGACTGGCCGACCCTGGTGGACGAGCTCGTGCAGACCCTCCGGCCCGCCCGGGGAGGGAGGAGGGAGGAGGGAGGAGGAGGACGAGGGAGGAGGGAGGAGGGAGGAGGAGGAGGGAGGAGGGAGGAGGGAGGAGGGAGGAGGGAGGAGGGAGGAGGGAGGAGGCAGGAGGCAGGAGGGAGGAGGAGCGGAGGAGGAGGAGGAAGGGGGAGGACACCAGTGTCCTCCGACCCCCGGGTCGGCGCGCACCACCGCCCCCTCCCCGCATGGCAGGCAGGGCGTTCCGAGGGCACCCCATGAGGTCCCAGACTCGTCAGCAAACCCAGACCCCCTCGCGTTGTGGTCACGGGCGTAACTACGAATAACATAATGACTAGGCACGTGTGGATCCATCCCCGCATCGCAGATCCGTCAGCTTCTGAAGCCCGATGTGCATGTCAACGGCAAGCACCTTACCCCCAAAGCTTCGGCAATCCACGACAGACTTCGCATGTGTGCGATGAACAAGTACGGCTACACCTGCGCTCTTGTACTCAGCAAGGTGGGGTATACACCAGTGTCCTCCGACCAACTCGTTGTCCGCTGTCTGCGCCCTCGTTTCAGTCAGGCACACAGCATCCCACGACGTGTAATCCAATTTTGCTAACAAGTCAGCTTGCTAGCCATGGGTATGTACAAAAGCACTATTAAAGAACAGCTCGAACATGAAAGTGTTATCCAATTCGTTACAATCACCCCTCATGTCAATGAATTCTGTGCCGTCTCTGCTTGCCCGCGATCGGTGCTGTCCCCAGGCTGTCCCGGAGGATGCCTTGGACTTGCTCTTGCCTTCCTCCTGCCTCTCTCCCTTCCCCTTCCCCCTCAATTGGACCTTTTTTGTGACCTCTGGGACCCTCCTCCTCCTCCTCCTCCTCCTCCTCCTCCTCCTCCTCCTCCTCCTCCCCGACGTCATGTTTTCTTTGTTGTTACGTCCAGGAGGTCTCAGCCAGCTCCCCGGGACCGGCTGTTCGTCCCGAGTCGTTCTTGCGTGATGGGATCGGAGTAGATGGGGTCGGAGGATCGCGCCGCGTCGCCGATGCTCAAGAGGATAAAAAAAACGCCCCTACCCTGGTTTACGAGGCGCTGTGCGCCGAAACTCCTGTGGGCAGACAGGGTAAACCCTGCGTGATGTGCCGCGTCCTGGCGGCTCTAGGCTTTGGGGGTTCCCAGGAGGTTTACAGACCATGCACTTGCAACCCAGGGTAGGGTCGTTTTTTTCATCCCTCAGATGCATCGACGATGCGGCCAGATGCGGAGACCGATCTGCTTCGCGTCGACGCCGCCGACGTGTCGCCAAAGTCGGCGGTGCATCGGCGATGCGGCGCGATCCTCCGACCCCGTCTATCTTCTCAGACCCCATGTCCAGGATCTACCAGCCTGGGACATATCCCTATCCCCATGCTGGGCACCTCCTCATCACGATGCCAATCTTCGGGATTCCCTTGTTTTTGGAGGGCGAATCCCTGAGATTGTCATCGCCTTTTGGCTTGTCAATCTTGAGGATAGGGATACCTTTCGAGGCTGGTGACAGGAGGCCTCCAGCGAGGGCCCCCGGGGCCCGGCGGATGCCTCCCAGAGGCCGAGACGAGCCCCCCCCAGGTGCCTCTGCCCTGCCACATGTCGCTCTCCAGAGCGCTCCTCCTCCCCTCCTCCTCCTCCTCCTCCTCCTCCTCCTCCTCCTCCTCCTCCTCCTCCTCCTCCCCCTCCCCCTCCTCCTCCTCCTCCTCCTCCTCCTCCTCCTCCTCGAGAGCGATATCGCTCTTAAGGAGCTCTCGAGAGCTCTTCAGAGCTTCCCTGCCCCACATCGCTCTTCAGAGCTCTTGGGAGCTCCGCAGTCTGAATGCACCTCTCCCTTCTCCCTTGAGAGTCAGCCTGGCAGGAGCCCGTTTCTTTATTGCTTGGGGCATGACAGGCGTCATGGCCCCCGCTCCCCCCCCCCTCCTACGACGTAGCGCTCACCCCCCCAGTGCGCTCCGGGCACTGCCGCTGTGCGCATTGGGATCCGTGTAGGTGTCCGCGTAGGAATCCGCATAGGTGTCTGGTCCGCAGGCGTCGTCGTCGTCGTCGTCGTCGTCCGTCGTCCGTCGTCCGTCGTCCGTCGTCCGCGGCTGGAGCCTGCTTTTAAGTCCGGGCCGATGACGGCAATCATCTGGGGGGGGAGTGGTCGATGACGTCACGTTTCGCGCTGGCGGCGTCTGGGAATGCTTAGGAATGACGGAGGACGCGTAGCACGAACATGTAGGTGGCGATAGGCACCACCACGCCTGTGTACATCACAGTGCCCGCGTGCACCACAGCGCGTGCAACACAGCGTCAGTTTGTGCCACCGTGCCTGCGGGCACAGCAGCTCCCGTATACACCACAGCGCCTCCGTACACCACATCAGCCGTGCGCAACACAGCACCAGTGTACACCACAATGCCAGCGTGCATTTCAGTGCATGTGTACGCCACGGCGCCTGTGTATTGTTGTGTATAGAATTTCACATGGAATCCTAATGACAAGCTGGAGCGCGTGTGGATTCCAGAGAACACAATGGAAACCAAATCCTCATGGACAAGGGAGCGCCGCTGGAATGAATTTATGAGTCCCCCCGAGTCCGCCCGCATCACCCTGACTCCCATTTGCGTCCAGGAGGCTCCAGCTAAACTGGCCGTCCGAGAACCAAGTGGACCGAGTCAATCGACCATTCTGCGGTGCACGCTGAGATGCGCACGTGCGTTGTAACGCCAAGCCGCACGACAGGGGGTAAGGAGGAGGAGGAGGAGGAGGAGGAGGAGGTGGAGGAGGTGGAGGAGGAGGGAGGAGGAGGGAGGAGGGAAACACGTCGCATTCGATGTTCAGAATTTTCCTGGCGTGGCGTTTAGTTGTCCGCAGCAGATCCTGACTCACATGCGTTGCGCGCGGATGCTATGGTGTAGACAGGCGCTGTGGCGTGCACAGGCGCTGCGGTGCACGCAAGCATTGTGGTGTACACAGGCATTGTGTTGCACGTGGCTGCTGCGGTGTATGTGCACTGGCGCTGTAGTGCTCCCAAGTATTGTGGTATACACGGGCGGTGCGTTGCACACGGCTGTTTGCGG